TTTTCAATAAAAAAAAACAGGACAGAAAAAACAAGCTACTTTGGATATGTGCAGGGGTGCGACATGAGGGTGGATGAGAAGGAGCTACATTCCATATATTCTGCAAAAGTTGTTGATGGCAGGAGAAGAGTGTTTTTGTTGCGTTTGGCTACTGTCCCTATTGCCTATCTACCTACGTGATGGGTGGACTCATAGGCTGGGCCTGGCGCTAGCATCCGGGAGATTTGGTCTTGGTACTGTCTCTTTTCTTTGGTTCCCATGGTGTCTGGGCAGCGCACTCAGGGATTTCATGCAAAAAGGGCCAAGTAGGCTCATTTTGTTTTCCAGCCTTATTTAAAAGAAAGCAATAGCTCCCTGAAGGGCTGCTGAGGCTGCCAGTGCTGGCAAAGTTGAGAATGTGTTCAAAAGTGTTCCAGTGCTCTGCCGATGTACAGTATAAGTGGAACATCATGTGAATTTAGTTGGTGCGAGTCGACATTTTGAAAAAAGTTGTAAATAGCGATTACTTGAATCTCTTTTACCCTCACTGTTGTTTTAAATTTATTCACGAAATCGGTGACGTCATTCATCAATTGGCATTCCATACATGAGGAAGACCATTATAAAAAAAATATAGCTTCACTGTGCTGGCAGTCGTCACTTTTTATATTCAATTCAAATAATTTTTTTATGGGAAAAGTTGCCAAACGAGCAGACGGTTCACCTGATGGTAAGTGAATACCGCCGCCCATGGAAATCTGCTACACCCGAGGGTTGCAGATACGTTGACAGATGCGTTGACAACCTTTTGAAAATTGGGCTCCAGCTACCTCACTCACGAGACGAAACGCGAAAGTATTTGTCATACTTCCACTTTACGCTGGTCTTCTGTGAGATCGTGGTACTTACCCGAACGGCCCTGCCCATTCGTGCAACTGCTGCGTGGCCCTACCACCGTTAAAATATACCCAATTCGTAATGAAGAGCCGTGTCCTATAAAGAAATTTCATTTGCTGTCTAAAAGTAACGAGTAATGTTGATACTAGACTTTTCTGTAATTCTAATAATGTAAAATTACGTTTGTTCCAAGAATCTCACTTTTATTATAATAAATTGTGTCTCTGAATTATATTAAAATTCTTGGAAAGCACACAACATACAATGACATGTTAAATTTTCTAGTTAAATTTTCGATGTCTGTGTGTAATTCTGTAAGAATTTTTTTTAATATTTCTGATTATTATTTTTTTCGCATTTTTAGTGATTTCAGTCTCCGACGTTTCGTACCCTTTACAGGATCCATGTTCACGAAAACAACCCTAAACTCTTCTTGTTTTATATAGGTCATTGTAAAAGTTAATAATTTTTAAAACACAGATGTAAAATGTTAAATAATATTTTTTTTGTACATAAACTGAATTAAAATACAAAGTTTACCCATGATCATAATGTAGCCAAGAAGGTAGTTCTATGTAATACATTTGTGATGCGTTTTTGTTTTCAGCAGGAACCGGAACGATTCTTTACTTTTTATCCGGTCTAATTTTGGTTTTGTAACCAGTTTTTGGTCTGGACGTATCGAGCACTTAACTGCAACAGGTCAGTCAAGATTGTCTACCTGCTAAATTCCTTCGTGTTGTAATAAGTATTATATGTATGTATGTTTTAAGTTTCATGGTTTCCGTGCTTATGCAGATGTCGGCCATATGTTGCGGTAATATGAACTCTTGTATGAAATGCTTGTATGCCAACATCTAAGCCTAAAAAAAATTTAACAAAAACGTTTCAAGTTGCTGTTGCTTTGGTGTGAAATCAATAGAAGGCTATAAAACTTGTTATCGCTGATGAAGACAAACAAACGCAACGGATATCAAATCATCTGTAAAAAATTTAAATGTCAAATTATCACGGTTCATGAGATACAGACGGACAGAGAGCGGAGTTAAAGTAATAGGGCGGGACCCTATTACTTTAACTTTTTACCGTTTGGGTACGGAACCCTAAAAACGGAAGCTACCCCTTATTCATTATTATACAATGAAACAGTATAAAGTTCAAAACGATCATTTTCACTGAATATCGGTTATTAATTCAATGGTAATGTTTCTCTATCGATAAAAATACCTTGTATTTTTTTTCATTCAGTCAAAATCTTTGTAAGTAAAATTTTTTGTAAGTAAAGTTTAGAAAATTATAATGTAAACATGTATTTATTCAGCTTATTTTCCATTTTTGTATTACTTTCTTATCCCCCGGTTCTAACTCAAAATATTTTACCATTAAAACCGAAAAATCAAAAACTCAATAAAAATGTTTGGTTTAAGTTTGGTTATCGTTGAACCAAATTTCACCCATCACCTTTGTTTCAAAGATTGATTATTCCTCAATATCATAGGGAATGAAAACAACTATTATTTATTTCTTTACCTTACAAAATGCGTAGTACCTATATTCTCTGCTTGCGAAAACATTGAAGGGAAAATGGTTCGTAGTTTTTAAAAATCGTGCGTATTTGATATAAAAATACGTCCATATTTGAATGTACCGTTGCAAAGTCAATTTACAAGTTTCTAGTCAATTTTCAATTATGTTTGTGGTTTTCACATTTTGCATTCTCAAACATACGTAGGATTTTTTTAAAAGGATGAAAAACAACACCTGCTAATAACATAGTGCCGGAAAAAAAATAACTTCGATTAACGGTGTACCTTCGGCTTCAGAGTTGGAAACGATTTAATTTCGTCATAATTATACGATTTCCCTTTCGCCTCCAGCTTATAAAAGAGTTTGGGATAAATTCTTCAAAGATTCTTCTTACTAATTAAGGTAATTAAATTGTTTAGATAACATTTCAAAGATAATTTAGATGTAATTAACATACTTTGAACATAATTGTTCTAGTAGGGTGTGCTTTTTAACATAATAAGTATGGATATAATATTAGACACTGAATCGCCAAAGATTATAAGCTAGGTATACCTAGGCAGCTATGATTATTTTATAGGCACCAACTTTTGCCGTAACATAATTCTATGGTAGATTTTGTTTGACTGCGTTGAAATTTTTCATTGCTACCGTATAATTTTTATGAAACACACATCATTAAATCTTTTTTTTAATTAATTCAACTATTCCAGCAGATTAATTTTGCCGGATAAAACAGTATCTATTTAAAAAACAAATCGACGGTTACATTTTTTTAATCTGACGCTTGGTCGGGTCCAGTACAGATATAAGGAAGTCTAAAACTTCAGTCCGTACCCCAGTCAGATAATAGCTACCGATCGAGCCGAGGTCCGGCCCTCTCGGGCACCCTCGAATCGGAATGCTAAACGCGTGCTGAGTGACAGCCCAAGCCGAGGTCCCCTCTCGGGGACCCTTGAGCCTGATCACTCCATGGAGCGCCCGCCAAAGCGCCCTAAGAGCTTGGCGGCCTCCCAAACCGGTGAATTAAATAGCGTGACGGCCCGAGCCGAGGCTCCCCCGGGAGCCCTCGAGCTTAGTCACCATAACGCGTAATAATAGTACGCCGAGGTTCAGGCTAGGCGCCTCGTGCGCCAGGCCACCTCAAGTCCGTCGGATCTGTGAAGGCCCCTAAGGCCAACAGTGGCTCATCCAGCCAAAAAAAAAAAAAAAATTCAGTCCGTAAAGTATTCAAATCGGGAATTTAATTATTAACCAACTTGATTTATCTGAGTTTGTATTTTTACTTTTTAGACAACTCGAGTTGTCTACCCACGTTAAATTCCATGTAACTTTAATAAATGAAAAGAATGTTTGGAATTTAATTGAGGAGACCGTATTGCTTCCACCGGTACCCAAAAGACCGCATTAAATCAAATAATAACGTGATCCCTTACTTGTACAGGATTAAGGAATGCTTAGTTATTATACAGAGGAGCGATTCTCTCGCTTCTCTGTATAATATATACATTACATACATATAACATAGTGGGTATATCGAATTACCTGTTTCCTGTAAGCAAACTCAAAAAATTCGTACGGTTTAGTAATTATAATATCTTGTGTGGTAATTATGCATTCTATTCTTTAAGTCAATGCTTACAAAATTGCCCGTCAATGCACTGAACAGGTACAGTACTCGATAACACAGATCACTCATAGATAATAGAAATTGATTTTTTTATAATATCAACATTATGTAGTTCAGAAGAAAAGTTGCTTTCAATCACAAAATAAAGCTTTTACAAATATACCTACTTATACTTAAGTTATGACAAAAATTCAAATATTGTTATTCAATATTATTTCGAACAGTAAAATAAATATGAAGTCCTTGAAGAAAATAAAGCTGCTTGAATTCTTCTAATTACGGAGCGTTTTTGTATACAAAACAAAATAATTCCTCTTTTCGCCGATTCTTTTAATCTCACTTCACGAAAGTATATATTTGTCTAAAAATAATTATTACTTAATTAGTTGAATATTATTCTATCCATTCAATAAAGAGACTGTTTTTTTTAGTTTATAATATATTTCTCTATGTGTATATTATTTGTTAATAATATTTAGGTGTTTTGCAAAATATATTATGTAATATTGAGATGTAGTATCTAGTAGATAGTAATAGTAGCAAGAGGCTATATAAGCCTCACTCCTTTGTAAGTGTTTTATTTATGGGGTATAAGGCATCGCGTAACCCTATCGAGTATGTCTCAATTTTTTTAAATAATATTTAAAAAAATTGAGACATTTCGAAATAATAATCAAATATTATTATTTCGAAAATGTGCAGGTTCTCCCGCGGTATCTTCCTTTGCCGAAGAGCAAGTGATAAATCAGAACTTAAATTGCAAAATTGGATTTGAATTCAGGTTCCGCGTGTGTACAATACGCCATGTACACAAAGTTCACACAAATACTTCTATCTTTATCTTATAATCGAAAGTAAAGTATGCTGTAAAGTTTATATTTTAATAATTTTAATAAATATTAATAATTTACATATTACATAAAAATAGTTATAGATAATGCCACTTTTTAAATAATATTACAATTTATTGCCATTGCTCTTCTGAAGTGATGTCTTCATCGTCTTGTATGCTACCTTGTGGTTTACGATTCACGGTGACGTTTAGCGCCAAAAGTTGTTGCATTGGCAGACGCGGAGACAGATTGACCATGCTAGCCCATTGTCCAGAACATAGTTCAGGGAACTTAAGCTTCTTCAAGAAGTGACCTTCCAGATACCACGGTGATATGCAGGTTGGGGAGTAGTCCCATATCTTCATTTCGTTCAAACGAACCCAACTGAAAGCATAATAAGCGATTGCAGGGCCGGATTTAGCCCTTTTTTATAATAGGGCCCCCCACAAGAGACTTCGGAAAAAAAATCAAATTTTGACTAGTAAACAAGTTCTGTTCGTTGACGCCAAAATTTAATTTAAGATAATTCTTTTTTCCGATTATATTTATATGTTCTTTAAATAATAAAAGAATCTATACTTGGTTTCATAATAAATTATTTATTGGAAAACTTGACTGAAAAAAAATTATTTATTTTATTTGGAAAATAATTTGGGGCCAAGGGGCCTCCACTCCTTTGCTGCCCCGAGGCCTACAGATCTCTAAATCCGGCCCTGAGCGATTGACTTCAACGTTTGTTTTATTCGTTTTGGTTATGCAGTTTTATTCAATGTATATTTTGGTTCATGCACTGTCCATGTATTTTGGTTATTATTGGCGCAAATATGAGACTCTTTGCTCAGATAATGTATTTTTGGAGATAATATGGTCGGGCTTCCTATCTGCAGCAATCGATGTCAGAAACTTATGCTCAACATAGGGTGACAGACATATAACCTGACACAATTTCATTAGGAAGCTAAAATGAATCTTGAACATAGCGATGATCTTCTATTTACCCTTTTACGGTTAGGGGTTATGAAATCGCATAACTAGTATTATTTCTAAGCAGACGCGCGTTCTTTCACCTTCATTTTGAAATGAAAAAATCAGTGCTTAGTTTTCAGCGAATATTGAATCTTACGGTGAACATATTTTGATTCCTAGATAAAATATTTCTTGCAGAGTACTTTAAAATTTTACAAGTAGAATGAACTTGATACATAGATATTGTTAAACAGTGCAAGATGTAGAAGTTCCATGAAGATCCATCGTTCCATCACTATTTATTCAAAATTATGCAGAAACTTACGCTGAAATGTACAAGGCATGGCAGTCACAATGCCAGGGGTTGTTTGAAAGTTTAACCTTTTCCAGTTTTGGCATATAATCCAATGTACGCGACGGTAAAGAAGGGAACATATTGTTGTCAACATATCTGTAAATATCAAAAGATATTTTAGTCTAAATTTATAATATGCAGTAAAAATTAAAGTACAACTTTTTTTTATATTTCCTGTTGATTAAAATTTTGACATTCATTTAGACAGTATTGCGGAAATATCTATATTTTGTATTTTAATTAGTAACTAACAAAAAAACGCAATCTTCTCTTTATCTATCAACAAAGTTCAAATCCTATGATGCTAAATTGATTCCACGTACTGAAAAATTCACACCAACTCTTTACATTTACTAAAAGTACAACTAAAATTCTAAGAAGTTATATTTATATTTGCCACCGTAGTTACTAGATACGTGTTTCATCTCGCAGCGAAGTATTATCGGATATAATTGGCTCTTGACAATTACCTGTCCAGAGTACGGTGAATATGAGCCTTTTATACATCGATGACGCTATCGACTTACCTATAGGTATATAACAAAGCTTTGGACAATGGACACACAATATAACCTATAACAGTGTATTGACATACCAACTTTTCACATATTATTTTAGGATTACGAAACATCTTTAGCATTTTAGTTTTAAAAATAAAAAACGAGACGTTTTTCTCTAATGTAACCCTTGAGCAATTACTTAACGTATAATATCTATGGAATTTTTTGTCGAAACGTAAAGGTTTATTAAGTCATTGGTGTGTATTAAAAGACATTAGGCTTTGCATGCTGTAAGTCACTCAGCAGGTTCCGCCATTGCGTCGATGCTGTGTTGTGACAGAAAACACTAGTCGAGTTCAAAATATTATTGGAATGCTTAGTGTAATAAAGGTACTATGTTATGGGCTCAGTAACCCTATTAATTACTTTATCCGTACGGTTTAAGATTATTAGTTAACATGTCGTAAACGAACAGTCCGTTGGTAATCACAAACTAGTATATATAGGGTTTCGTTTGTCCATTCGATATATTTATCAGGTATAAAGCTCTAACTCGATTCCACTTACAAAGTCGTTAGGTTCTTCAAAGTTGAAAATGTCATAAAGTGCACTTCATAAAGTTGGTTTTCTGAGAGAACAAGTGAAATCAGCTTCTCCAAACCGTGAAATGTGGTCGCATTGAGAAATCGTAATTTGTTTTTTGAAATGTCAAGTGTTTCTAAATTGGTACAATTAGTAAAGGTGTTATTAGGTATCTGCATCAAGAAGTTTTCCTTCAAATCCAGATGACGGAGCAAGTGTAGATGTTGAAACTCTAGCCCTGTGAACTAAAGCAGTATTATGGTATTAAAACGATGGTTTTTATTATTTTAATTAACAAAATATAGCTTTAATTTGAACTTACACTAAAAATATTGTTGTTTGACAAATCCAAGAATTTTAAGCATTTTAGATTATGAAATAATTTCGGTGGAACTTTCTTCAACTTATTTTTGAATAAAAGCAGAGTCTCTAAAGAAAAGAGACTCCTGAAGGCGTTATCTGTGATGTTGCTTATTTTATTTTCTGATAATTTAAGTACCTGCAGTTTTTTTAAAGGGAATGTGCCGTTTTCAATGCGCTGTATTTTATTCTTTGACAGATCTAGGACAAGTACTGAGTCCAGACCTATGAAGGTATCGGAGGGTATGTATACTATTTGGTTGTTGGAAATGTCTATGGTCTCTAAAAATGAATTGTTAGCAAATAAGCGTTCGGGCAAGGTACGCAATAAATTATTTGATAAATCAACATGGAAAAGCTTTTTTGACCATCGAAAGGATTCGCTGTCAATTTCTTCTAGGTAATTCCTCTGCAAGCGCCTGAAAAGTGTAAAAGATATTGTATAATAGATATGTTTAAACAACAGAAATTACAAAACTAAATTTGTACTCCATCCAATAAATATTTTTGGTTCTTTTTGTATCACTTCAGTCTCGGCCAATTATTGTTTTATATCCGCTGTATTCATTAAAATTTTAGTATATTAAAGAAAGTGTGACACATTTAAACTTAAATTATGTTTTTTTTAAATGTTTGTATGTCAACTTTGAGTAAAATTTAAAAGATGCTATAGCGACTTTTTTTCTACATCATCAAACACTCCTTAATTTGCAGTAATATGAATGTCAGGAAAGAGTACTACAATTTTTGGAGTGATCCACTTTATGCATTAAAGCTCACTCCTCACATTAGTATAGAATAATACCAATGAAAATAACAATCACACTTACAATATTCTTAAGTTGACCAGTGAATCCAGTATTCCAGCCGGTAAGTATTCTAAATGATTGTCAAACATATCCAATTCACTAAGAGATTTCATATCTTTGAAGGTAGTCTTATGTAGACTTCGTAATTTGTTACTGCCCAAATCGCTAAAAATTATTAATATAAACATAAATATATTAATCTCTCAATATGTATGAAAATAATGAAAAAGTAAGATATTATTATTATATAATCTTAATTTTAAGGATAGTTTTTAAAAATTTAGTTACGAAATTTTCGTTACTAAATTTTTAAAAACTATCCTTAAAAATTATTGCCTGAAAATAAAAACAAAATACAAATAAACATGTATCAACATAACTGTTATGCTCAATTTTAAGGTCCTACAATTTGTGAAACAATTTTCATAAAATCCATTTGCAAATATTTTGATTACACCAGACACACTCGAAAACGTTCTATTTTGCCGAAATGCAGCGAAGCGACAATGAACGGATGCTCGTATATCACATTTTATTGTCATTATAGTTTAATTAAGTAACTTATTGTTGAAAATCACAAAATGTTAAAATGTAATTCATAATTTTCTCATCACCTTTGTCCTTTAAATAAAAGAAGCAATAAAAAAGCCTAAAACTTACGTACATGGACTGAAGGTCAGCTGGTACAATAATGTCAGGTGTCAGCGTCATGAGACCAGCCCGCCAGCAGTTCAAAGAACGATGTACTGCATCGCAGCGGCATACAGTCTTAGCGCACTGACGCCAACGCGACTGGCCCAAGCTCACCGTCCATGCTGGACAATGGTCAAGAAAACATTTTCTTAGACATGACAAAAAGCATTTTAGCCGTTTAGTTGTGGTTAAAGCGTATGAACGTGAGTTTTGTAGGGTGTTTATGTCACGCGTAGAGATTAGCAATATAAAAACTTAATATAACATTTAAAAAAAAAGTTTTATACTTATGTCATACCGACAGGATTATAACCGACTTCAAAAAAGGAGGAAGTTTCTCAATTCGACCGTATATATTTTTATATTTTCTTTTTTTGTTGGCAAGGAGATATCGCCAGATGCGGGTTTCCTTATCACGGTACCACCGTGATAAGGATACCCGGATCTGATGATGGTATCCCAGAGAAATCGAGGGCCATCATTGAATGTTATAGGTATTAACAATGTTTTTAATTTTCTGATTGAAGTCGGTTTTTTTTTTATATTGAGAAATTGATATTGAGAAATAAGAACAGTATTACATTCATGACAAATTGTTTTTATATTATATAAATTCACTGTTTACAAATTTTTGCATTGCTTGAAATCATTTTGTGAAGCAGTGGAGGTACGAGTGTACGTACATACGTACCTTTGGTCTTCTGTAAGAACTCCAGAACCACTTCAATAGGTAATTTGAATGCCTATCATTAACGTTTTAAAACATAGAAGTCGCAAGCAAGGGCGATGGCTGGACTATGAGGCCATGAAACACAATACGCCTTTGAGGGCCGTTATATTAGCGAAATATGCGTACGCGTCATCGTGGTGAAGAACATTGGTGCTAGTACGATTTTCGCGAACTACTTATAAAACTATTATTAGCAAATATTTATGTGCCGTATTCACTTACTCGGTTGTTCAATCGCTCGCAATCGCCGGTCCAACTGCCTCCAATGTACGTCGTCGGTGCACACTCCGGGATTCCTTTGTTCCCCCTTGCGGCGCCCCGATGTAAACATCTCCAATACTTCGCACGGATTCAAATCGCATTCCGCTTGAACGCTTTGCACCGCTAAAAAATACCGAGAAAAAAGAAAATAGGCAAATTAGTTAATTTGGTTCTATGTTTTTAAAGTATTCATTTTTGTACAACTTAGAACTAACACAAACCTAATTCAAATTTTCCGTCCATTACATTTGCCGTAGAATTAGGTACCGAAGCTATTGTTTTTCATGGGCGGTATTAAACAATTACACCTCCTTTTTTTCACCATAACCAAAAATATAAATATTATTTAGTTACCAACATTTATAAACAAACTTTTATTTTGTGTCATTAGATGTTCGAACATAAAAACAATGTTACAAAAATATCAGACTCCAATGATGGGAATTTCATAAGTAACGCAAAGCATAACTAATTTTATAATGTGTATGTTTTTGCTATTTACTTTATGGTGAGGTTTATTTCGTTTTCTTACCGACCTAATGTCAGCACGGACATGCAAAGTTTGATATCAAAATTTTGATGAAATTGTGTCACCTGTTAGCCCCGATCCTTCAATGGATGCGGACCGGACGGTTGTCCGTAAGTCATTTATTATTTTGTATTACGACTGGACGGTATAATCTGCTATTGTTTGTTAAAGCAAAATATCGCGAGGAGGTTAACAACTGTTTTCGCCCTGCAATTCATGCTCAAATGACGTCTATAATGGAAGCTTGCGTCCTTTTACTTACGCCTTTTTGCTTACGTTTTCTGAAACACTGATCATCGTAGATTTTAACTAATCAGCTGTCTAATCGCTACTCAAAGTTAGTTTTGCGGATACCCTATCGACGTTAGTTTAAAACATTAATATCCGCAACCAACCAAAGCATATTCCCAATCACTTCGCTCCTAAGTTAGTAATTACAATGTAGCCCCACAATCGAGCGTAACAAGCGGCACATATTAACTAAATTAAAATATAAAAACTTCACTTATGCTCTCAAATAAATGTCGATTTCCTTTATTTTACAGTTATAAATATGGCGCACACAATTAAATTATAAAAGTTATAGTATAAGTCTAATTTGTATCTGTGGCGGTCCGTAATATGTACTGAGCTTTGCTCCGTTTGTTTTTTTTGTGATTTTGGAAATTACCTTTAGATACAAATAACTGAGTAATGAAATATGCATAATATTTTCCAATCTTACCGACGTAATAATAAGAAAATATGAACTGGTGTATTTACAAAATGAAGAACTTTAAACAAAAGGGAAAAAAATAACAAAATCATGTGGATCGACAAAAAATAAAAAACAAAGAATGCAATGATCTGGAATTGAAAAAAAAAAGTAAAAAAATAAGTGTGTAAATGATCGTGACACGAACCACGGCCTTCTATTTCGAGGTCGCCCGATTACCGACCGAGCTATTATAACACTTTTTTTCGGTGAAATTTATCGTCTTATTCGAATGATATTTTTCATTTCCTGAAAACTGGGATAAAACGACATTTTCTAAAAACGAAAAATATAATCGGAATCTCTGAATATATATATATATGTATGTATCTTTACAATCATACTATAAATGAACACTCATATAGAGGATAACTTTTTAAAATTGTATTAAACATTTATATTCTTTAAACATCAATATTTACAGAGTTATTAAATTTTCCAAAACAAAGAATTTTAGAACACCCTTACGTATAAAACTGTAACGTATATTGTAACGTAGAAAAAGTACGAAAAGACTGTAACGTATAGTTCATTTGTAAAGGTCACAAAGCATATGAATGGGTTGAATGAATTTAAAAGAGATAAAACATACTGTTAGAAGGAGAGGCTTGTAATACGACGCTGTGTCGCGAGTTGTATAGGATGTTACAAATTTTGTTTCTTTTTTACTTAATTAGTTTGTTTGAAAAATATTTTTTTTTAATTATGGATTTTGTTTAACGTTAATATTTTTTTATGATTATTGTTACAATTTTATTATGATTATTGTACAAGTAGCGTTAGACGTGTGTTCATTTATTGTCGCGATGGTAACGTCACACTATATATACATATATATACAAGAATTGCTCGTTTAAAGGTATAAGATATATAGTCGTACGTTTTAAATTGTAATTGACAACAAAAGAATACAAGAGAATTAGTTATATTTTGCTTTATGTGCTAAATGGCGCTATGCCATTGCTGTATTTTTTTCAGACCGTTGAAAAAATTTAGCAGATAAATTTTATAAACGTGATGGCTGCATGGATAATATTACTGATAAATTCATAAATGAACTAGAAAATGACAAGAGCACAGATTCGGATACGATGGATAATGATGACGTCATCGTCATCGACGTATATTATTAAACATCATTGAATTGGTTGAAAGAATTAATTATTATTCAATACAAATGTGAATGTAAACTTTGTATATTTTTTCCTTTTTTGATACATAAAGAAACCCATTAAAACGAAAAGATTTTTTGATTGGCTTAAACAAGTAAAACACTGTCAAATTTTAACAGAGAATATTAATGTTTTGATACTTAATACTTAGGCAAAAAAATTGCAATATGACAAATAACAGAAAAAGCTTGACGGTCACTGCTGGATTATTTAATATTATTCAAAAGTCAAAAGCTACGCTCAAGACAAGATCATGAAATATTAAAAGTACTTTTTGTAAGAAAGTATAACATTAATTTACTCGACTAAATATTCATCGAGTCCGTAATGGAAACGTAAATTTGAAAATTGCGAATTCATAAGACTCTTCTTACGTAAGTTCTTACGTGAGTATTTTGCTTAGAACTTACTGCGGTTCAATAGAAAAGCCTTTACGATTAAAGTATTTATGATGGATTGTTTTAAAACTAAATTTGCCAAATGTAACCAAATCTGTCCGAGTCAGATCGGTTCTGTGACACATTGTATATAATAAATATTTATTAGAATATTTTTTTATGTGACAAGGGGGCAAGCGAGGCGGCGGTTCACCTGATGTTAAATGATGATCGCCGCCCATTGACATTTGCAACACCCGTAGGGTTGCAGATGCGTTGTCCCCTTTAATAAAGTGGGCTCCGGCTACCTCACTCACCAGATGAAGCACAAATATTGACATTTCTACTTCACGCCGCTATTGTGTGAGGTCACAATAAAATTATATTTAATATAAAGCCATTTTTACCCATCATGTGCTAAAACAATTTGTTTATGACATAAAATATTACCTTTACATCTGAAGATTTCCAAAATAAAATATATATGAAAAATGTTCATGTTCCTCTATTTGACACACACAGGCTGAACTAGTACCATACACTGATTGTCTATCCGCAGTTATACTATACTCTCACTACGGATGATTCACTACAACAGTTAATCATTTTCAGATTAATAATAAGATATTTCAGTGGGATATCAGTGTAACATTTTTCATTAAGCACATGGCTTGAGCACGATACTATTGGCAATGAAGTCTGGAGGCTAATAATGTGCAACAAGTTTATCGTTTTTGAAAATTTTATTTTTTTCATCTTTTGTTTTGTGTTTTATCAAATGTTAAGCATTTGCTTTTATTCCTTCCTTTTTCATTTTTATAAAAATCACCAAATGTTCGAGTAAATCAAGTTTATATATTTTATGTAAATCAAGAATTCGTATGCTCCTAATATGAGTTATGAAAATTTGTCAAAAATAAAATTAAACTTCTGTTTTATACCGTGTTTCTTTCGTTAGTTTTAACGGATATAAATAGTCTAATACATAATTAAATATTAACTTTTCTTACCGTACCGAGAGACTTCAATTAGGGCTTATTAAAATAATTAAATTTATTTATTTACCGGGCGGGGTCTTGTTACCAAGTTCTAAGACTTGAACTTCGCAAATAAACGAAGTTTATGCTACTGTATGATGACTGAAGTCTTTGAATGCGGCTGTTAGTAACAAAATTCGAACTTGATTTATCATAAATACATGTTTCTGTTTAATAATATTACATACTTATGCTATGCAACATATCTGTCACCAATCTTATTTTATATGTCTTATTTTATATATATAAAATCACCGGTCAAAAGTTTTCCTATTTCCAAACAGAGTACACATTTCGTTCGAATGATATAAAAAGGGTAGCGTAATTAAAGCAATAAGAAAAAAGAGGATGGCAGGCGTTTGTCACTTTAGCACAAGTGTATTTAATGCCTCTTGGGACTTTTCGGGGCTTGACTCCGGGAGCATTAACAACATTATGTTATGTAGTAGGAAATATCATTGTCACTATATGTGACCTTTATTTGATGACAGATGCCTATTGTAAAAGGCAACACGAATCTAAATAAAATATTAAATCGACACAAATGAACATTTCATTATAATTATGTTTCAAGACTTGTACAAAAGTTTTAATTGGATGAACTATCACCGTCTCGTAGACCCTTTACGTAAAAAAGTTACTCTCCTGTAGGGTTGTTTGTATGTTTTCTATTTAAAGTCAATTAAATCAAAACAATTGAATCAAAAAAATAATAATTTCCAATTGAATCCTTATTGTTTGACTCTGTCTACGATTTTACTACTGATACATAATTAACCAGTTAGCTGAATTGATTGCGTCCGTCCCTGCTTGGGACAAACAATTGTCCTAATCACAGGTGTGCACGCATTGTTTAATTAAAGCTGAACTGCAAAATTGAAGTTTATTTATAAATTTTAAAAGGACAATGGCGAAAAAATTGCTGAGAGAAATCTCAAGCGTCTAAAAATAGCATAGTTACAAATATAAATATTATAATTTCTTGAGATTTTTCAAATTATAAAAAATGCCGGTACACTTGTCAGGGAAAAAATATTTTTTTTTGAAAACTCAATTAACTAAAAATATCGGCAGTGGATTCGTCAGGCTTGTTTGCCGTGCAATTAATGTTACCATATTATAAAATCAAGTCCCGAGTTAAATAATATGTCTAGTCTATTATTATATTATATTTAGCGTTAAAATATTTTGATTTTCATATCATAAATCCTTCTATAGATTTAAAAAGTCACATTTCTGTGCTAAGAATCAAGCTACCATTCATAAATTATTAAAATAAGATGGATTTGCATTTCATAAACATAACACAAGTATAGTAAAATTCTTAATTTTCTAAATACATGGACCAAGCCTTCGAACTCGATTTTTAACAATATTTTGCCAATTATAGGATTTCTGATTTTGTTAAGGCAACACCCTCACTAAAAACTAAAGGTAGATCGTTTTGCTATTATTTTGTTCGTTGCCCAGTTTTTTTTTTGTTTAAATTGTGCTGAGTTTATTTTAGTGAATTTACTGGATATAGTATTATCACTAAGTACGATTACGAAGTGGATGATTTTGTGATTTTGATGGAAATTGTGTTGTGAAAGACTTCTTTGCGATATTGATGCTTATATTATTTAAATTTAAATCTTAAGTTGTACGATAAGGATGTTTTGATAATGGAAGGGCAAGAAAATATGACTTGTGTTAAATGCGGAATTGTATTGCTTTTGTATTCTAATCTTTTTGTATCTAAAATGGAGAGAATCATTGAGCAATACTCAAAACCACATTTTTGTGAAATAAAAATATCCATAAATGTGTTTCATTAGTACCTACCTAATTCATAAGTAGTTATACATGAATTCAAAAATTAATTAGGGAATTGGCAATTTAAATTTATTATATTATATTATATATATTCTTCCTTACAGAGGAACAAAATAAAGACATATATAGTCTTAACATGACTATATATAATACAACTCACCGTCATAGTGACGCTTTCTTTTATTTTGACATAAATAGTTTTATTAAGTCTAGTTTTAAGGTGACAAAAAATACTTGGTATTTGCCATTATATTATAAGAAAATAATTGCTATTTTAGTAGCATATAATATACAAAACCCAGTTGTACATTGTACAACTAAGAACATTTTACTTAGCAATAATTTTACAAAAAACAATGTTAGTTTAAACTAAACATTGAAACAACACCTAAGCCACTTAAATTAAATATTGTACACCAAAATATACAAGGCATAGGTGGCAAAGGACCTGAAATTGAGCTGTTTCTTAGAAGATTTAACATCCATGTCATCTGCTTCACAGAGACATGGTTACATAAGCATTTTAATATTATAGATATAGAGAACTATAAATTGTTAAGTTCGTTCGTAAGAGCAAATGCTATTCGCGGTGGCTCTCTTATGTTAGTAAGAACTGATATAGTCTGTAAAAATCGACAGGATATAGTAGCACACTCTGTCGAACGTTCTATAGAATTATCCTGCGTTGAGAGTCAACAGTATATTATAGTATGCGTGTATCGACCCCCCTCAGGTGATTTCGATCTGTTTGAGTGTGTAATGGATGATGTACTTAAAAACTCTGTTCAAGTAGTAAATCAGTAGTAGTTTGTGGAGATTTTAATGTGGATTTATTACAAGTGACACATCTTAGTAAACGACTTTTAAATTTATTTAGTTCATTTAAACTTAATAATCTTTTTCATGAACCAACTCGTGTCACTAACTCATCCTCCACATGTATAGATAACGTTTTCTGCCACGATAATGTATATGATAAATATGTTATAAAGTATCTGAGCTCTGACCACTTTGGTTTAAAATTTTCAATAAATGAAAAAGTTATTACAAGCAAACATAAGATCAAGTGTAGACCAGTCACTACTAATAGAATAAATTCTTTTAAAGACAAAGTGACACATCATATGTTAAATAAAGATATAGAAGTCAATAATCCTAATGATTCTTATAAATCAATGGTTGACTTTCTCATATCTTCTTATAATGACATATTTAAATCGCGCACAATTGTTAAAAATTCAAAATTAAAATTTAGTGACTGGGCAACAGTGGGTATATATAAAAGTAGGGATTCACTGTATGAATTATATAATATGAGGCAGTGGAATCATGACCCCAACTTTCATAAAAGGGTACAAATGTTCTCAAAAATATTTAAAAAAGTCTGTATTCAGGCAAAATCTATTCATATAAGAGATAGAATAATAAATTCAAACAATAAAATTAAAGCCACATGGGACATCATTACCCGTATATCTGGAAGACCCAAGATATTCAGGGAACCTATAAAACTGGTTATAGGTAATACTCCCATAACATCAGATAATGAAATTGCAAGTAGTTTTGAAAGCTATTTTCAGAAATTGCAGTTAATGTCACATGTACATTAAAATCATCTCCCATAGATGCAATTAACGTTCTAAGAAATAATGTTACCTTTTGTCCACACACATTTAAATTTAATCACGTAGATACTTATGATATTTTAAAAGTTTTGAATTCTATTAATCTTAAGAATACAGGGGATTTATGGGGCATGTCCATAAAATTAATGACCACAATAATGCCATATATTGCACCACATTTAGCTAATATTTTTAACAACTGCATAGATTCTGGAATATTTCCAGATCTTATGAAATTTAGTAAGATAATCCCCGTCTTCAAAAGTGGGGATAAAAATGATCCAGGAAACTACAGACCTATCTCCATATTGCCATCTCTGAGTAAAATTTTTGAAAAACTAATTTTAAATCAGCTCTTAGTACATTTTAATATGAACAAAATTTTTCACAATGAGCAATATGGATTCACTAAAGGCAGATCGACAACAGATGCGGGTATCGCACTTGTCAAACATATTTATAACGCCTGGGAAGGGTCGCAAGATGCAATAGGTGTTTTTTGCGACCTTTCAAAAGCTTTCGACTGCGTGGATCACAAAACCCTCCTTCTAAAGCTTGATTATTATGGCATTCGTGACATTGCCCTCAATCTCATTGCTTCTTACCTTAATAATAGAATTCAAAAAGTATCTATAAATGATGTAAATTCCGCAGGGTCCCCCATGAAAATGGGTGTCCCACAAGGATCGATCTTGGGCACATTATTATTCTTAGTATATATAAATGATCTCCCCTTCTATGCCAGTGAGTTATGTGATGTTGTACTGTTTGCTGACGACACATCGCTTATTTTTTAAGGTTGACCGAAATGTATCGAATTATGACGACGTGAATAGTGCACTTTCGCGTATCCTCCACTGGTTTATCATTAATAATATGGTGTTAAATGCTAAAAAAACTAAATGCCTTCTTTTTGCCCTTCCCAACGTAAGAAGGCAAAGTTTTAGCTTAAAATTGAATAGCGTAACCCTTAATCCTGTTGAGTCCGCTGTATTCTTGGGAATCACAGTAGATTCAAAGCTCCAATGGATCTATCATCTCTTGCGAATAGGTTAAGCTCCGCTGTTTTTGCAATTAGGAAGGTTAGGCAGCTATCAGACATCGACACTGCCAGACTTGTTTACTACAGTTATTTTCACAGCATCTTGTCGTACGGCATTTTGTTGTGGGGTAGTGCATCTGATATAAATTCAATATTTATTATTCAAAAAAGAGCTGTCCGAGCAATTTATAACATCGGAGCCCGGAATACACTCAGAGATCTTTTTAAAGAGATTAAATTATAGATTATACTCACTGTTGCGTCTCAATATATTTATTGTAATATTTTGTATGTTAAACAGAATATTAATAATTATCAAAAGAATAGTGACAGACATAAACTAAATACTAGAAATAAGGACAAACTAACTACGCCATTATTTCGCCTACAAAAAGTAAACAGATCGTTCATGGGGCAAAGTGTGCGCATGTATAATAAAATCCCACAGTCGATGTTAAGTCTGCCACTTGATCAATTTAAACGAAAAATTAGAAGTACACTTATGGCTAAAGCCTATTATACTATTGCCGAATATCTTGACGACGCCAATGTGTGGGGTTAATACTGTTGATACTCACGTAGGCTAAAACAAGACTATTGTACCTGTACTATTATATTGTAAACTGATTTTTTAAAAAAGAGCAACTGTTGAGTTTCTTGCCGGTTTCTTCTTAACAGAAACTGCTTTCCGAACCGGTGGTAACTTACGAACGTGTTAATTTCTTGTAAAATTTTGACGTTTCATAAGAACGCGCAAGCGTCTATGTGAATAAAGATATTTTATTATTATTATAGGGGGATATTTATTTGTTTTCTCGTCTGGTTGGGTTTATAAATAAAAATAAAAATAAAGATATATATTGCATATATAAAATAAATATTATGGATAAAAATAAACATATATATATAAATATTTTATATAATACATATATAAATAGGACCCAACCAGACGGAAGCCCTCGGCAGGGGAGACCAAACGGCCGAGGGTTAGGGCGAAAGGGAGAGAAACCGGCGGACGATGCGGGCGGTATCGAGGAGCACCGCCTTCTGCATTTGAGCTTGGAGCGATCCGTCCCGGAGTCCCAGTCGCCTCAGATGTTTAGAGAGGCTGACTGGGATTAACCCATTGGCAGAAACGACTATCGGGATAATTTCAGTCGGCACACCACCCCACATGTCGGTCACCTCGTGAGCCAGGTCCAGATACTTTGTCTTCTTATCTGTTTCGGCTTTCACGAGGTTTTCGTCATATGGAATGGTAATGTCGACCAAAAATACCCGCGACTGTGCCCGGTCCATCACCACGATATCAGGTTTGTTCGCAACAATCGTCCTGTCCGTGATGATGGGCCGGTCCCAATAGAGCCTGGCGCGGTCATTTTCGAGCACGGCTTCCGGATAGTACTTGTAGTACGGCAGTTTTCGAACCACGAGGCCGTATTTCAGAGCGAGCTCCTGGTGTAAGATTCTGGCTACTAGGTTGTGTCTATGCAGATACTCAGAGTTAGAAAGCATGGAACAACCGGAAATAACATGCCGAAGCGACTCCCCCCCGGGATGGCGACAAGCTCGACAGATGTCGACGGTGCCATCCTTTAGGATGTATCTCCTATAGTTGTTCGTCTTAATAACCTGATCCTGTATCGCACAGACAAAACCTTCGGTTTCCCCAAAGAGGTCACCGAAACGTAGCCAGTTCAGGGAGGCAACAGTATCTACGAAAGGCTCGTGTAGAGCCTTGTAGAACCTCCCGTGGAGCTCTTTCTCCTTCCATACAGCCTCTCGGTCGGAAACGCACAGTACTCCCGGGTCCTGCCATTGCTCGTTGGCTAAGGATAGAGGGGTATGTCCTTTATCACAACTAATGACGTCCGTGTAGATTGACTCATCCGATCTCGCCAGAAAGTAGTTACGGAGGCTGCACACCTCGCGATTGTGCATGGTGAGGGCGCTTAAAAAGCCTCTCCCGCCATGCTTCCGCGGCAGGTACAGCCTCATCACTGACGATCTCGGATGATGCATTCTGTGGGACGTCATAGTTGTGCGGACTTTTCGGTCCAGGGCGTTGAGCTCAGTTTGAGTCCACCTGAGTATGCCAAAGGTATACATGAGGACTGGCATGACCCAGCCGTTAAAAGCACGTGCCTTGTTCCCGCCTGACAAATGGCTATTAAACACCTTTGTCAGGCGTGCAAAAAACACGTCACGAACTGACTGTTTCATGCCAGCCTCATCGATACACATGTTTTGTGACATACCCAGGTATCGGTATGTTTCAGCCTCAGAGAGGGTCCTTATGTTAACGGACATAGATAAGTCTATGCCCTCCGTATTAGTAACCTTACCCCTTTCGACATGAAGGACCGCACACTTATCCGTCCCGAGCTCCATTTTGATAGAATTGCTGAAATCACAAGTGACTTTAAGCAATTCCATCAAATGGGAGCGATTGGAGGCGAATAATTTGAGGTCATCCATGTAGAAAAGGTGGGTCACTTTTGTCCCTCCTCTCCGAAGCTGAAATCCTCCCCCCGAGCCCCCCAGTAACACGCTGAGAGGATTCAGGGAGAGGCAAAACCATATTGGACTCAAACAGTCGCCGTGGAAAATACCCCGTCGTATCCTTATCCGGTATTCCGCAGCCGTCATCCGCTCGCCTAGATGACAAAGGATCGTACTCCATTGCCCCATACAGTGCCCGAGGAAGTCTCTTACTGTACAGTCTACTTTGTACAGTTCGAGGACCCTCTTTAGCCATGTATGGGGCACAGAGTCGAATGCCTTTTTGTAGTCTATCCAGGCGGCAGAGAAGTTCCGACGGTTGCGTTTAACCATTTTGCCAATGATCGCGTCGATGAGAAGCGGTTCCTTGGTTCCACGACCACCGCCACGACATCCATTCTGAGCAGGAGACATAATCCGATTCATATTAATATGTCGGGTGATTCTCATGCTCAGAACAGATGTCAGTGTCTTATAGATGACTCCGTGGCGCAGTTGCCAAGGTATTGGCTTCGGCGTCGGGGGTCGTGGGTTCGATCCCCACACGGGACAACTATTTGTGTGACCCACAGATAGTTGTTTCGCATCTGGGTGTTTGTCCGCGTGAAATTTATGTTTGTAAAACGCCCTTGCAACACAGGATAAATTTGTCCTATAGTAAGGGCAATGTTTTTTAAAAACAAATAAAAGAAAGAAAACAAATAAATAAAAGAAAGATGGTCGGTAGACACGTAATGGGGCGGTACTTGCTCGGGTCTGTGGTAACCTGATCTTTCGGAACCAAGTGAGTGACCCCAGTAGTAAAGAGGCTCGGGAGCGACCTCTGATCGAGAGCCTCTTGGAACTGTCGGGCGAGCACAGCATGACACACCACGAACCCCTTCAGCCAGTAGTGATGCAGCCCGTCGAGTCCCGGACTTTTCCAGTTCGGGGCTCTACGGACTGCCTCAAATACGTCGTCGGGTGTTATGACGACGGGGTCCATGGGTGTAATATCTGCACATTGGCTCGCCACGAATTGCGTCCAAGGGCCCTCGCTGTGGTCTACGGGCTCTGACCACAGGCTGCGCCAGAAGGCAACAGTGTCGGCCTGGTCCGGTCCTTGGCCCGTTCCACAGTTTATTGGTCGCTCCAAAGATTTGTAGAGCCTCTTTTGGTCACTCAGGAAGAGGCGATTCTGGCTAAACCGCGCCGTCCTCTCGGTATATCGCCGAATCCGCTTCCCCCAAGCAGCGATCCTTTGCTTCAGGTCATCTATGCGCTCCGTTAGTTTTTGCATAATATCCGGCTGGGACAAGTTGATGTTGGTCCCAGCGAACGCCATCCTAACGGTGCGCACAATTCTGGGCCTATTATTGCCCGACCTGAAGCTTATCAGCCTGCCGATGATGGCCCTTACCTTTGCGATACGGTCCTCAATTCTTCTTCTCCATGCTGGGATAGTGCTACCTGGTTTAGTAGCACGTCCAGTCTTTGGAAGTTTGGCGCCAACGATTCGGCATACTGCCAGTGCAGCGCCAAAGAGAATTGAGTCCGTATCGCAAAGATCCCTGCTGGCTTCCAAATAGGTTGCCAGCATCGGGTTAAGAGACCTCACGACAGACCGACTCCGCTTACTTAGGGGTATGCGGGGGAGTCGTGGTCGATTCTCGAGACGTGTTTCGCGCACCTCCAGAATTGCCTCCTCCAATATGCTTCTCATCTGCTCTATTTCTTGGGCGACTATTCCATCATCGCACGAATCTACAAGAGCCGGGGGGGTAAAAACGCGGCGTCCGCTTCCGCTCGTAACCCTGCGGGATCCGCAGCTTGCGGAGTCGCATTTCCAGCCCCTGCATTTTCATTCGATGAGGGAACAGCCTCACGTCGAAGTCGTTCGAGCTCGGCTTCATCAAATACTTTTGAACGCATGATGTACCGAACTCTGTCTGCTAGGTTTTGCTCGGTGACGGTTAAAGATGGCTCCAGCTCAGCAAAAACGCGATGCATCCTTGCCCGATACGCATTATTAAAAGTATTATTATTATTATTATTATTAAAAGTTGTGTTCATACAATTACTATAGTTTGGTACCTTTGCTGGGCCAGAATTACCAAAGTATTTTAGGACCAGCATGTTTTCTTGGTGGTATTGTCATAAAAGATAATGAGGAATAAATTATTCAAAAGACAATGTTTTTTTATTTATGGAATATCTGGTATTTTAAATATTTTTCTTCGAAGCCCTAAACGGTACCTATGTAAATATAAATAACTGCTTCATTTTTCTGGCTATTTTTCATATCGAGGGTTATTTCTATTTTTTTTTAAATATGTAACATCTTTTTTACATAGAGCGCAGTCTATTTTATTATAGTTATGATAGATTATTATTGTTTTTACTATTATTTAAACTCATAGCACTAGTACACGACATAACCTTAACAACTTTAGACCGAAATATCTTTAATTCCACACTTCTTTTAATAACAACAAGTATGTATGATATATTCAGAACATTAAATTGTACATTTTTACATATTTCTCGTCTTAAGACGCAAAACAATTTGTTCAACAAAAATTTGTAAGGGAGTTCGCCATTTTCAGCAGCCTCGGCTGTTGCACGAATGGGCAGGATCGTCCGGGTAAGTAGTAACCACGACCTCACAGAAGACCGACGTAAAGTGGAAGTATAATACTTTCGCGTTTCGTCTGGTGAGTGAGGTAGTCGGAGCCCAATTTCTTAAGAGGTTGTCAATGCATCTGAAAACCCTCGGGTGTAGCAGATGTCTATAGGCGGCGATATTCACTTAACATCAGGTGAACCGTCTGCTCGGTTGGCAACTTTTCAGATAAAAAAAAATCAAATGTATGTTTAAATATAAGAAAAATATATGATTAATAGCTTCTACATATTATTTCCCAAAGGCCTTTTTTTTGACAATATGCCGTAAAATTCATAATTCCTCAACAAATTTTGTCTCAACAACGGTGAAAATTAATGTTTGTCGTTTCGTCGTTTCAGTCGTTTATTCATGTAAAATAGACAAGTGGGAAGTAAATGTTCTAAAAAAGCTATCGTGTTAAGATTTATTTTAAAGAATTTATGATAATGCTAAATCAAATTGAAAATGTAGATAAATGAACAAAAACTTTGTGCGCTGCGGGATTCGAACTGCATCTTCTGGTTTTGCGCCCAGACGCAAACTAAGCTAAGCGGCCGATGACCTCACGGGGACAAAATCTTGACAGATATCTAAGTTCGTTCTATTGCATTTTTAGAAATGCTTGGCGCGATTTACTGTGCATACTTTACAGCATACAACACTACAAATACCACTGGGACTAAAAATAAAAATTAATCTTAAAACATTTTAAAAATGTTTGTGTTTAGAAAGCAGTTTTGATCTATACAGATACAGAGATAAATAAACATTTACACAATAACATTTTTTACAATTTTTGTCTGTCTGTCGGTCTGTTTGTTCCGGCTAATCTCTGAAACGGCTGGACCGATTTGGACGGGACTTCCACTGACAGATAGCTGATGTAATAAGGAGTAACTTAGGCTACTTTTATTTTAGATTTTTTTATTTTAAATTCCACGTGGACGAAGTCGCGGGCACAGCTAGTTATTAATAAAATTCGCGGTTATTATTCTCTCATTTCTGTCTATGGGGCCAGCTTATAACGACGATGAAAGCAGCACTATAGTTCTGCCGCTATGACCGGGAGCCGCTAAGTATCAAAGTAGAAAGAAAGCAAGAAGTAATTAAAGTAAAAAAACATTTATTGCCATTTAAAAGTCGCCACATCCGCATTTATTGCCAATGCGCATCCGAAATCGCTATAGCCACATGATTTTCCTCTGAAAGTATACTCTTTATTCAATGGACTTACGTATATCGTTGCAATGACCACAATATGTAACATACATTGTCATCGTATATTTGGGGCTCCCCACACTTTCTTCCTTATCATTATTAAATAAAATTTCCATATGTAAGGATCTATTTAAAGATAATTATTATAATATAGCACTGTTCTCATTTCTATGTAGCCTTTAGTACTTAGATTATTTCTTTTAAGAAGTTACCAAATGTTTGTTTTCTGTTTAACCACTCAGTGACAGATCAGTGTCGGGGACGCTTCCTAAAAATGTTGACAGGCCTTTTAATGATAAAATGAATAAACAAGCGTTACCAGTGACATCATTTTCTATAGGTAGTATTTGATATCGCATTTTGTGTTTATTTTTAACAGACTGTTAGTATAATTTCTTTTTTATTTAATATTCCATGTTATTGAAATATTTCGTTTATTATTTACGAGTAAATAAATTCAAAAGCTGTACAAAAATAGACTTTTTAGATTTTGAGAGGGAGAAATCCATAATATATATTTTTCAACCGATTTTAAAAACGGAGAACGTGAGAACCTTCTCCGTTCGACTGTATTTTTTTACGTTTATTACCAGAACTTGTGAATGAACCGATTTAGATAATTCTTTTTTTATTTTAAAGCTGGTTCTTCCTATGTTGTCCCATATTAATTTCATTGGTATTGGATCTTGGGTTCCGAAGATACATAGGGAACTCCTGAAAACCAATTATATAATGATTATAAAGATATTTGAAGTCGTTTTGTTTTTCATTAATGAAAAAAATTTACTTGTTGTTTCGTACCTATAATCTTTAAAAAAAATTAAAAAGGTAATTGTGATGTTAAATCGCAGTTTCATCGCTTTTGATTAATGGTGTTTATCGATATTAAATTCGTATTTCAGAACCTTTTTCCTTTCGATGTAAAAAGCGAATTGACCATCAATCAAAGTAAGAGACTACAATACGATCCAGCGAAAGTATAGGATTTCAAAATCAATTATATCTCGAACAAATAGAGCGGGATAAATTGTGAATGAGTTTCAGCCTGTTTTTTTTTCTGACAGTAATTAATTTATACGTTTAAGCCGACACTAACAGAACAATAGATGAATAAATAATATTTATTAAATTACATTTGTAAAACGAAAATTATAATATTGTATCACATAACGCCTACTTATAAATCACTCATGGCTTGTACATAATCACTCTTTAATGGCAAAATTCATCTAAAGGCTTCAGTGACAAATGTATGTAAGGGTGCGGATTTCCCCCACATCCACTCTTAATTCGCGAAACGTTATCGCCTCCGAATGTTTGCATTGATACACGAGTTAATAATTGCTCGCAAACAGCGAGTACGACAAAAATAACCTCTTCATAAGCATTGGCCAAGGGTGGATAGCTGCGGAGCGCGCCATTCGGCCCTCAGTTTGCGACGCGGCACATCGCGTCCGACGGCGCCCATCGCCCTGAAACTTTCCCCCGCGACGCTGTAATCTCGCGATCCCCGAACAAACACCCGTTACTTTAACTCTATTTGCAGTGCGAAAACAACGTTGGTGAGAACAACCGGGGGATAGAGCCTCGAAATCCGTGTGCAGAGGACTGTGTGTTGTTATGTTAATGTGTTAATTTGTAGCCCAACTTAAGCCTTTTCCTTAATTGAAATAATTAAATAGAGAAGTTTGAAATTTGAAGTACGTATGTTTGTTCAGATTTATTAAAGACTTTTTTTAATAAGCATACTTTGACAATAATAGAGGCGATCATGGGAGATTATTTATTAGACGTTCGCGTAGATTTTTGAATGAAAATTATGACAGATTATTACGGCGGTTGACGGTTATATCACTTATTCGATGCTTAAAGTATAGTTTACTGAAGCAAATTGCTTGTTCTAAGTGGCAAGGTTGAAAAATCAGTAAGTGAGCAATGTCAACTTTCGGTGCGGGGACATTCGTGCTAATCAGTTTGCAAACAATCTGGGAGGCAGACTCAGAGTCGTGCTGCGGAGTATGCCATGATTATTGGATTTGTGAGCAAAGAAGGTCCGCCGCGGAGAAAATCTTTTGTTGAGAATTTTGGTGCTAATTCTGACAACGCTAGTGACGATCGACGCGATGGATACCAGGCGAGTACTACTAAATTCCTTAAATAAATATCATGTTGTAACCCGCTAGCTAAATTACTTACAAACTAGGTGTATGTTGTGTGAGGCGTAAATTGATAGGTAGCGATTTGATGCTCTATGCGATGAATTGTTAACTGATTATTTTCATTCAGTGGATTGGTGTTATCTTCTTTTGCTGGAGTATAACTTCGTTATGCTTATTCAGTTGCATTGAGACTGTTAACTCTTATCTGTTTTGTTAACTCTTAACTGTTTACCCACACTTTACGGGCTTATTAAAGTCTACTTTATTAAGAGTTATCTCCACTTTACATTTAAATGCATTAGATCACAGCTATGGATGACCATCTTTTAGCTTCAATTAACCGATAAAGATTTTTCGTCTCTAAAAAAGCAGAAAAAATATTCATTAATTGAATTAAATTGGACATGATTTAAGTATTCTCATTGTTCATATAGGTACCTTGTCTAACAGTTGATTCCTTACGTAACATGACTACCAGTACACAATTGAATTGTTCCCTAACATTCTCAGGTACATTAAATTTATTTTGTTTAGAATATTTTTCTTGTTACTGCAATTTTACAAGTTACATTCTTTATTTCATTTAGAGTTTTCCGCATAAATTGTAATCAATTATGGCTTTCGTACAATTTATACAAATTGAAATTTACGTTTAAAAAGGCCGGACATATCCATGACATATATCATTTAACCATGTATCGTACGAGCTTCGATAGTTTTCATGTTCAACTATATTGAAAGCCTAGATAGTAACGCAATGGCAAGATACTGTCTGAAATATCATTCGTATAATGCATCATATATCATGAGTGTTTTAGTACTGACGCATGGTTGCCTAAACCCTGAAATCCACGGTTTTACAAAACACAAAGGTGACTTTTATTGTTTCTTTACTCGGTAACACAACCACTGGGGTGTGGTTTTAACGATCTTTTTAAAAACATGATCAAGGAGTAGGTGTTGTTTTCTTGAGTATTTATCGACATTAAAAGTGTTCTATGTTGCAATGAGTATAAACTACCTTTCAGAACTTCAATGGAAGGAAATGGAATTGAAAATATAGCATGGTTTCAACTTATACCTATCATAAAAATGTCTTTTTATATTCTTACATTGTCAGTTTATGTAAAAGGCATGTATTTTATGTTCTACCTTCTTTTGTATCTTATATATTTTAAATGTAATTCAAGAAGGTAAAAGTAAGTTTTTTCTAAGTAAAAGTAAGTTTGTTCTTTAAAATTTGTTAATCTAAACAAGAAAACTTATCCGGTTTAAATTATAAGATAAACTCATATTGCTGTAAAACTTTCAAAAAATGTCTAATTCTTTAATCGAGTAGTAGAAGTCTTTACTTCTACATAGTTCGTAGTCATCTCAAAGGTAAGATGTTTATGACACTTAGTAAAAATTTTAACACCGTTTGCTTCGAAGATGTCGGGCGATGGAAGAGAATGCAAAAGGATTAAAGGAATGTCAAATTATCTTTTTTAATGCGTTGGCCAACGTTTACTAACATAGAGATAGAGTAAACTCGTTTTCCTTCTATCTGTACTGTTTTATTGGGTAATAAGTGTTCTGAGAGTACAAGGTATTTTGTCTATGAAAACAATCGGCAAGTAACTTGTCGAAGAGTTATTTTGAGAAAACAATATCAATTTTGATGTTTTCCGTAATATTTGACGTTGTAATGTTATTAACAACTACCGAGTTATATTCTACATTCAATTGAATGTGCGTTTTGAAACATTTATTCTACAGATTTATATTTTTCCCGATCTTAGATCAGGCACAATTACGGTGAGAAGCGAAGACAATATCTTTACTTCTTACCATCAGTCCCAAGAATATAAAATGGACTGTCGGTCTATAATTATTATGTGTATAAATAAAGCTTGGTCACGACTCATATGTTAGGACGGCACCATATTAAATATGTGCTTTGTCTCTACCGAATTTATTGTACTAATTTGCTATCTATTAACAAATCTTATGATAATACTTGTTGCAGTTTCTGGGCTATATTTAAACATTTCTGTTCGAATTATTTGTAAATTTTGTATAGGACAAACGAAAAAGGCCAATCTCACATCAAACCGGTGTAAGCGAACGTATATTCTATTAGTTCAAAACAAGTTTTAATAGAAACGAACTGCTGTTTCTTTTAAAACTTCTTTTGAACTAATAGAATAAGCCAAAATTAACCGCTGGCACTTGAAAACTCAAAGATTCAAGTTATATTTAATTTATACATATATATATATAGAGTTAGAAACCACATTTTTTTGCATTTCAAGCAATGTTTGGCGCAACCACTGTAATATCCTTTCCAGTATACAAACAATTTCGAATATCGTTTTACAACGATAATTCGAACGAGAGACGTCGCCATTGCTTTTTAGAAATTTTATATTGTCTATAATATTATAAATATATAGGCTATACAATTTTATAAATGCTAAAAATGTAGATAAAGGACGTTAAGATTTTCGTCAACCACATTTTTTATTAAAAATTATTGCTCGTTCTACAGGATAACATTATCCCCTGTTGCAAGGACGTCCTACAAACATGAATTTTTCGTGAACAAACATCCAGATCCAAAACAATTATCCGTGGGATACATTAATAGCTGTCCCGTATGGGAATCGAACTCACGACCCCCGGTGCCGAGGCCAATACCTTGGCAACTTTGCCGCGTAGTCAAAGATAACATATGTAAAAATCTACACATCATTAAAACCGAATATCAGTGCACTGGTAGAGAATTTTGTTCGAGTACCCATAGCCTGAATACCTTCGCATCGACTAAATTACTTGCGAAGAAAAATTAAATTGAATTCAATCAAAATGAATTTCTAAGTGAGACATTTTTATTATTACTATTTTTTTTATTTAATCTTTATTGCCAACCTTCAGTAAAAGAAGGTAACAAAGGGCAGACTTAATGCCCAAAGGCATTCTGTACCAGTCAACCCAGGATGTTGTGAGAGTTTATGGTAGGTACACCAAGAGATGCAAGAATAACAAAATTTTAATGAAAGAGAATATATATATGAAAATAATATTATAATTGGATACAAAGCATATATTAAATTATATACATGCATATATATATATATTTAAATACACGTGCGTGTCGTTACCACCGCGACAATAAATGAACACACATAATGAGGATAATTTTTTAAAATTGTATTAAACATTTACATTCTTCAAACATCAATATTTACCGAGTTATTAAATTTTCCAAAACAAACAATTTTAGAACACCCTTACGTATAAAACTGTAACGTAAAGTTCATTTGTAAAGGTCACAAAGCATATGAATGGGTTGAATGAATTTAAAAGAGACAAAACATACTGTTGAAAGGAGAGGCTTGTAATGCGACGCTGTGGCGCGAGTTGTATAGGTGTTACAAATTTTGTTTCTTTTTTACCTAATTAGTTTGTTTGAAAAATATTTTTTTTAAATTATGGATTTTGTTTAACGTTAATATTTTTTTATGATTATTGGCAAGTAGCGTTAGACGTGTGTTCATTTATTGTCGCGATGGTAACGACACGCTGTATATAAAGATGTATACTTGTATAAAGAAATAACAATTAGCTTCTACTTTTAACTACAATCCATATCTTAGGTCGAATTTGTCTTTAACATGTGTTCACGAACCAGTATTTTGAGAGATGTCTTACTTTTTGCGTTTCTTACGTTATCGGGCAAGGAGTTCCAAAGATGTATAGCTTGGATAGTAAAGGAGTTAACAGAGAACACGGTAAAGTGCGCTGGAATGCATAATTGATTCGTGTAAGACGACCGAAGTACCCTATCATGAGATGAGGAGAGATAAAGTGTGTTTATGAGGTAAGAAGGGGAGGAACAATCATTTAAAATGGAGAAAAGCACAAGCAAAATTTTGGACTGCCGCCTTTGTCGAATAGTAAGCCATTTAAGTTGAGATCGATAGGAGAATATGTGGTCATACTTGCGTAAGCCGAAAATGAACCTGATACAGTTATTAAGGAGGCGATCCAACTTGTTTAGTAGATGTTGGGATACGTCCGGGTAACACACATCTGCATAATCGATAATGGGTAAAATGAGCGTTTGGACAAGCAAAAATTTAGTTTTGAAAGGGAGGATGTTTTAAACGATAGAGAGATCGTAAGGTGGCAGTAACTTTGCGGCTTATTTTCGATAACGTATACAATCCAATTCAAGGTATTGTCATTAAGCAGACCTAGATTTTTTACCACATTTGAAAAAGGAATTATTATATTATTGTATTTTATAGGAGGTACAGACGAGTAATCAATTTTTGTCAGCATTCTTGAACCACCAACAAGTGTAGCTTGGCATTTCGAGGGATTGACCGAAACTCCATGAGAACTTGACCAACTCCAAACTTTGTCTAGGTTTTCGTTTAATTTTACTATCGCAACATGAAGGTCGTCTATATCGGCTTGCACAAAAAGCTGAAGATCGTCAGCATACAAATGATACGAACAGTTCAAAAAAGCAGTGAGAAAGTTAATAAAAATAGAGAAGATTATGGGAGACAGTATCCCGCCTTGTGGCACGCCAGATTCAACATCAGCCTAAGCTGAGCTTTTTTGCTCCAAGGTGACTGACTGCTGACGCCCACGAAGATAAGATGAAAACCATTCTACAACAGAGTCTGCAAAATTAATATGGGAGAGCATGGAAAGGAGTATATCATGGTTGACTGTGTTAAAAGCGTTTGAAAAGTCCACAAGCACTAACACAGTTACCTTTTTATCTTCCATGCCTTGCCTAATGTCATCGGTAACTTTGATTTTAAGGCTGTGGTAGTGCTGTGGCCAGAACGAAAACCAGACTGATAGATACTCAGTAGGTTATGTTTATTTAAAAATAAGGAGATTTGTCAGAATCTGTCAAGAACGTGGTAACGAGCCAGAAGAGGTGTTCCAATCGATAATATGAACGGAACGGCGGAACGCCTTGGTGACGTGACGCGCTCGTTAAGAGCGTTATGCACGCAAACGCATTAAGGTTTTCATGCCCGTTTTTAAAGCCTTGATGGAGCAACGTGATAATTAGGAGTTATGTACCCTTCAGTGATTATTTATTTATTTAAAAATTTATTGTTTACACCCCAAAATAAGGCCAAACAAAAGGCAAACTTAATGCTAATAAGCATTCTCTTCCAGTCAATCCTGGGAGTAGTGAAAAATTTGACGTAGGTGCAAAACAAAGTCCAAAATTCTATTTTAAAAACATAAAATAACAACAATACAAAATAAAATAACAGAGGGTAACGTATCTAACTCAAACAATCGGCAGAATTGGCATAGTGACATCGCAGCATTTTCTTAAATGATGTTTTACTTGTTGCATTTCTAATGTACTGAGGCAAAGTGTTCCAAAGTAGTATAGCCTGAATAGTAAAAGATTTATGGAAGAAGCCGGAATGATGCGTTGGAGTACAAAGTATTCTAGTGACAGAAGAGCGAAGTGCTCTATCGTGAGTTACTGAGATATATTGGAATTTTTCCTTTAAGTAATTAGGAGAAGCAGGGTCGTTAAGAATAGAGTAGAGAAAAAGAAGAATTCTTGAACTACGTCTCTGATGAATAGTAAGCCATTTAAGCTGAGAACGGTATTGAGATATGTGACCATATTTACGTAAACCGAAAATATACCTAATACAGTTATTGTAGAGACGCTCCAGCTTATAAATAAGTCTTGGTTTAGATCCGAGCAACAGACATCTGCATAATCCAAAATGGGTAATACAAGGGAATTGACAAGGGTAAGTTTGGTTTGGAGTGGCAGAAAGTATTTTAAAGTATGCAGAAAACGTAAGGTGGCAATAACCTTGCGACGGATCTCCTTGACGTGGACATTCCAGCTTAGAGAATTATCCATGTAAAGGCCAAGATTTTTCACTGAGTTGGCAAACGGAATTAATATATCGCCATTATACAGACTAGGGATATTTTTGTCCAGTTTGGCTAACATTTTCGTACTACCAAGAATAATGGCTTGGCATTTTAAAGGATTTATTGTAAGCCCATACCTAAGAGACCAATCTTTCAGTACTTCTAAATTGTTGTTAAGTTTTGAAACTGTATGGTGGATGTTATCTATTTCTGATTGCACATAAAGTTGGAGGTCATCGGCATACAGATGATATGAGCAATTAATAAAATTAGTTACAGAGTTAATAAAAACAGAAAATATTAGAGGAGAAAGAATACCGCCTTGCGGCATCCCAGCATTCAGATCCGTCCAACCAGAGGACTGGTCTCCTACGTGGCCAGATTGCTGACGACCGCGAAGATATGATGAGAACCGCTCAATGGCCGTTGGTCCAAACTTTAAATGGGATAGGATAGAGATATATAGTAGTATGTATATAGTTAAAAGCATTTGAAAAGTCAACTAACACCAAAATTATTACCTTTTTATCTTCCATACCTTGACGTATGTCATCAGTAACTTTAATTAAAGCAGTAGTGGTGCTGTGACCCAAACGAAAACCAGACTGCAACATACTCGGTAGGTTATGATCATGCAGAAACTTGACAAGTTGCTTGTGTACACAGGCTTCCAGAATTTTTGATAGATAGGGAAGAATGGAGATCGGGAAGTGTTGGATTGGATACTTTAGGGAGAGGTCTGACAAAAGCTCTTCCACAAAGAGGGATACTGTCCAGAGTTGAAAGAGAAATTAATTATGTGTGAAATGGCAGGTAGAAGATGGTCTAAGATCGTGATTATCATTATTCTGCTCACTTCATCACAACCAACAGCCATTGATTTTATTGCCAGAGCAGCTTTCTTAATCTTATCTGTGTATATATCTGTGTTCTATATATTATCTGTGTTTAATCGGAAGTGTGGCGATGGTGAGTGACATAACCAGATCTTCTCTACCAGGAGAAGACCAGGTATCCAAAACGGATTTTGTTACGATAAAAACTTATATTGTACGCGATCCTTTCTTTCTATTTAAAGTACAATATTATAATTTAATACATATAAGTTATAAAATTTTGAATTTATTAATGAGAACTTGTATTAATTAATGTGAATTTTTATGTGAGCAGGTGACAATCGAACGTGCGGTTCACCTAATGTTAAGTGATAACCGCCGCCAATGGACATTTGTAACACCCGCTTTTTATAAAGTGGAGCCCGGTTATCTCACTCAAAAGACAAAAAGGCAGACGTGTAACACTTCCACTTCACGCTTGTCTTCTGTGAGGCCTTGGTACTTCCCAGACGGACCTGCCCATTCGTCTAACAGCCGAAGCTGTTGCGTGGCCCTACCAATACGATATCTAAATATTATGTCAGACGTGTAATCGAGTTTAATAAGAGTTTTGTTGTGTGTGGAGAAAACAGAGGAACAGATAAAATATAATACATGTATAATACGGTGTGTACATATGTAATCAATTTTGCAGTATAAATAATGATTTTTAAAATAAAGAACACCATCTTGTTGTTCACACGATTGACAGTTTGAATAAGAAGCTAAGTTATCCTCCTCCAGTTTTTAAAAGATTTCTCGCATTTCGTTGACTGTTCGAATTCAACCAATTTAATGGGAAAACGTTGGTTGGCATTTAATCCGTATGCAAACATCTGTTATCTAAAAAAAGATAAATATCTCATTGCTGTCCAGTGTGTACCAGATACGAGAAACACAAATAAATTCTACTTTTATGCTGAACATGTTTACTCGAGAAAATTTAAGCAATAAAATATTATTTTCAGTAACCAAAAAGTTATTGCTAGATAAAGATGTGCATACATATAATATAAAATCGTTAAAATTAGGAGAAATAACTAAAGACGTGTCGTGGGAAAGTTCCTTCACTTTATAATAACATACAAAACTAAATATTTAGTCTTTATTTCCCGTTGTTCAGTATTTGGTGGAAAAAAAAATAGAGAGAGAGAGAGAGAGAGAGAGTCGCTAAAAGTCAATAGAGGGTTTGTTTTGATGTTAAAACAATGGCGAAGAATGCTAAAAGGCAAATCTACTACATAAATAAAAAGTGTATCTAACGAACGACGAAAATCTTAACGTCTTTTATTTACATTGTTTCTTAGCATTTGAAGCAAAAGAAAGTTTTAAAAAAAGTAAAAAAATATATAAACCATAGTTGTTCAATAAAACAAATCGCCTCATGTATTTTTTCAACTTAGCAACGCACTATGAAAATACAAAAACACGCATCGTGAATTTTCATTCAACTAAGGTTGTTTGAAAAAAAAAAAATCATCTTGAGTGAACTGAACGTATAAATAATCCTTAATTCCTATAGTATGAAGCTTTAATTACATTGAAATAAGTGATATTGTCATAAGTGTATCGTGAAATTATAGAATAGATGTACTTACACTAATTTACTTAGTTAGATACGCACTAAGACTTAAACTCACTTATTTCAAGTTATAACTTTGATATATTCAAGTTTTAATCTTTTGATGAATTGGGGACTTTTGAATTTGAATGTAAATCCCAAACCTTTTAGGATATTGCGATGAAACAAAGATTTAGTCAATCTCAGAATAACCTTATGTTGTGTCACTGTTGAACAGAGTAAATCTCCTGAGCGGAATGGTTTGAAAAACAGCTTAGGTATATAAAGTTACTTTCAACTAAGCCCTACATTAAAAAAAGCACTCCAATCGCTTTTAAATTTATTGGTTTCCAGCTGATTACTGTAATGTTTTTTTTTAAAGTTAGCAAGCGATTTGGAGATTCAGCTGATGTTAAGTGATAACCGTCCCCCATGGAAATTTGCAACTTCCGTAGGGTTGCCGATGCGTTGCCGCTTTTTAATAAAGTGGACCCCAGCTACCTCACTCACCAGATGAAACACAAAAATTGACATTCCCATTTCACGCGGGTCATCTGTGAGGTCGTAGTACTTACTGGTTGGACCTGCCCATTAGTGCAACATCCGAAGCTGTTCACTCTAATGTGCTGTTGACATTAATGATATTGTTGATAATTATTTTTTTTTAATTTAGTTTTTAATTGCAGCCGTAGACAGGGGATTTTTATGGATTTTTGTCATGAACTAAATATGTAAAAGGAATCCACCATTCCTGACTATGAATTCCGGATTCAAAATAGCTTTATAATACTAATATTGCCTATGTAATTGTTGGGTTGACTTGGCTATTATAATAATATAGCGTATGTTTATCTTAACCCAATCTATAAGATTATGTTAGAGCGTAGGTTTTGCTGACTGTACACGTAATTTTTTTTATTTTTAGCACACCAGGTTCCACCCAAGACGATGAGTCCGACTGGGCAAGAAATACTTCAATAGAGGAATATCTGACACAAATGAACGTTAATGATACCTATGGTAAGACCAATAAGTAATTGTTAAGTTATTATTTTATATAATAATTTATTGTAATTGTCCGAGTAGAAAATATCAAAGAAAGAACTTCTATTTGGGACTTCATTATCAATTATAATTTTTTGCAAATAGAATTACATAACAAAAATAGTTCAACGACGTTCACAGTCAAGACTGAGTTATTTTAGAACATTTAAGAGACACGCAGTTTCTAGAGTTTTTAGAATTCACAAAGGGATCATAAAACTACACTTTTAATACCGTTCTAGTCATAATTTTTTTTCCACGTATACACATCTGATTAAAACTTGTTATCTGGCATTATCTTAAAATAACACATTTCTTCTGTGTTACATGTTTCTAGATGTGAGCAAAATGTTTTATGCGTTGTAGGTAAGGTGTACCTTATACGATGAGGAAGTTTGAAGGAATTTATACCTTTATTTCAATAACTTTCGCTTAAATTAATCCTATTCTTTCATCAGCCGTACTTTAAACTAATATAGCTATGTACTAAATATCTCATCTTATACAGGGTGGCTTTTCTAAAGATGCCCAAATTAACACAGGAGGTTCAGACTCGGTAGTATAATCGTTTACTGAAATAAACAAACATTTTTTTTTTCAAAAAAAATTTCCATTCCATTCCCTAAAAACAGGACTTGTTAATAATGCGATAATCATTCATAAATGCGTCGTATACTTTTGAAATGAACTTGTGTGCGTTTTAGTTATGAATGATCGCGCGTAAAATAAAATAAGTTGCCCATTAATCACGCACTTTTTGAGATAAGTTCAAATCAATGTATTTAATTAATTACGAGGGATTTTAAATCTATTTTTTTACTCATTTTTATATAACGTAATTTATGTCTAGAATTTAATTTAAAAAATGGATACACTTAGAAAAGCCTCCCTGTATATTGATTGCTATTCATAAAGGTTCGGAATTTCTTCTAATCATAATAGAATCATGTGATTTTTAAAACATGTGTTTTAAAAGTGCTTATTAACTATCTAACCTTTGCAAAATTAAAAGTATTTTGTACAGTTCCATAAAAACTAACGAATTATTTGTTTCGGATTATATTTCGAACTTTATTGCCATCAATTAACTTAACCTTCATTGTATATACTACAATAATTTTATTTTAAACAAATGAGTATGTAGAACAACAGAACAGACTGTACATAGTCACAAAAATGAAAATTATGTCAATATATTTGGTTTCAATTTCATTTATTAATACTACTTGCAACAGATGTTAATTTTAAAACCAGAATCTCAATTTCAGATACACTATATGACGTGCCGACGGGTATGATAGTGCTACTATCGGTCCTCTACGGATCAATATCGGTGTTAGCAGTGGTGGGGAACTTCCTAGTCATGTGGGTGGTGGCAACGTCCCGGAGAATGCAAAGTGTCACAAACTGTTACATAGCAAACTTAGCTCTAGCTGATATTGTAATAGGACTATTTGCTGTACCATTCCAAGTGAGTGAAATAAAAAGAAATTTAATACGATATCTTGAAAGTATGTGAACAAATTATCGAATAATTTATCGGCAATAGGACCTGAAACGCATGCGTTATTGCACTTGTACTTTACGCAATTTATTACAAATTGTTTGAAATATATAGGGTTGACATTAATTTTATTAAAACTTGCAGATAATAACCAGTTTTAGTAGTTGATGTGATAGAAACCTATTAATTATTGAAGGAAGAATATATGAAGAAAACATATTTTATTTCACAAAGTATATCATGGAATTAACCTTTTTCAAACCTAAAATTTTATTTAGTGTTTATAAATAGAGGTACTTTATCTTCGAGTTACATTAAGATGTAAGTAAAAAGTTTCCAGTTGGCACAAATATCAAATTAAACTTGGAAACGCTACAAGTTGCCATGAATTGGCTACTTATAGATTAATTCAGAGCTGTCGATTCTGTTCTAATACACTAGTTAATTTTATGTCAATAGTATATGCGACACTAAAGCTTTCATATAATGGGTACTTAGTTATGGGTCGAGTTGCAATGTATAAGGGGATATGTGTTATAATTTCTTATATTGATTAAATTACCAGATATAACTACGTAATTATTTTTTAAGTCACATCAGTTCCAGTTAGCTGTGCTAATAACAAATTAAAATAGGAGAGCATTGACATATTAGTGCACCAATTAGCCAAGTGATTTAGGAAATTTTATGTTCTCTCCCTAGTCGTTATCCTTTAAGGAACAAGAGCCCGATAAAGTTCTTACAGTTTTACCAGATGTTACAATTTCTCGAGGCCCCTTTTTCCTTAATTCTGTTTATGGAAATATTATATGGGTGACGTAGAAGTTGTTTTTTTTTAAATATTTTTGTAAATCCATATAAAATAAAACTAAGTACATTTTATTATTTTTTATCTTTATTTCAATACGTATTCCATTATTTAATCATTTTAAAATCTTATTACTTTTAGAATTTCCACTATTTATGTCTTCTGTTAAATTGTTATTGTGTACATGTTTTGTCTGTTTATGGTTATTTTTTAATTTTACCTATTACTGTAAAGTGTCTCACCAGGTCGCGTCAAGAATTGCTAAAGGTGTAAAGTAAAAGGAGATTTTTGTTCTGAAATTTTCTCGCCGTGAGGATATCCCGCGCTTAGCTCAGTTAAAGCGTCTGGGAGCAAACTCGTGTGAAATAATTTATCAATACATGAATATATTTAATAAATTGTTATACTTAAATATATTTACATCTGTATTAATAAATTTGAAAAAGAAAAGAACTATTCCTTATAAACTTTGTCAATTATAATATTTACCATGACTTAAATATACTTACATACACGACATATACTCTTTCTGTAAAAACTAAAATAAAAGTTTAGTATACCGCGACAATAAATGAACACACATATAGAGGATAACTTTTTAAAATTGTACTTAATTTGTTGTCATTTACATTCTTCAAAATTTACCGAGTTATTAAATTTTCCAAATCAAACAATTTTAGAACACCCTTTCGTATAAAACTGTAACGTAAGTTCATTTGTAAAGGTCACAAAGCATATGAATGGGTTGAATGAATTTAAAAGAGACAAAACATAATGTTAGAAGGAGAGGCTTGTAATGCGACGCTGTGGCGCGAGTTATATAGGATGTTACAAATTTTGTTTCTTTTTAACTTAATTAGTTTGTTTGGAAAATATTTTTTTTTAATTATGGATTTTGTTTAACGTTAATATTTTTTTTCACTATTGCTAATCAGGTCGACATAATTATATTCTAATGTTCGTAACCATATTTCTCCTTTGTTTTTCCTCCACCTTTATAAAGATATGTTCATGTGAACTCCAATATAAATATATGTTAAATTATATAACTAGTTATAATTTTATTTTGCAGTTTCAAGCGGCTCTGCTGCAGCGGTGGTTGCTACCGCATTTCATGTGCGCCTTCTGTCCGTTCGTTCAGGCGCTAAGTGTTAATGTTAGCGTGTTTACCTTAACTGCCATTGCCGTCGACAGACATCGAGCAATAATTACGCCACTAAGGTATAGTAAAATATTATTTATGAATTACAAATCAAACCATAATCTTTTGAAATCTTTCAATGTTTATAACTCCCTCATCTGGTGATTTAAAATTTGTCATTAAATCAACTTTTGTGACGATATGTTACATGTGGAAAATGACGCTTTCCTACTGTTTTCTTTTGCTTTAACTGAATAGTATTTCTCATAATAAACATAAATAATATATACGGAAAATGTTTACTGTTTCAATCTTGACGGAAAAGCGATAAGAGTAGGAAAATTTCATAAAGTATTCGACCTTAGCCATATAGAATATTATGTGTATATTGTATTTTACGCTATTTTTTAAATTTAACTTAATCTGGGAAGTAAGACTAAGTTAAATTAAGTTTGTGTTAACCGATGAGATTGTGTCTTCGGTTACTTTAATTACACACGGATGAAAAACAGAAGTATAAATCATTTCAATTCACGCCGACCTTCTGCGAGTCCGTGACAATTTACTGGCCAATTCTTGAGGAGGAGCGGGTTTTGTAAATTGTCATAGCTGTTCCAATGTAAAATCACTTTAACCATTTATATTTTGATTCCTTCAGTGCGCACACATCCAAACGTATTGCCAAGGTGATCATCGTATTCATTTGGATCCTCGCCCTATCACTGGCGGCTCCCATGGCGATGTCCTGGGAAGTGGTGATGGAGGATGAAATAGATCCAGGTAAAAGCGTCTTTACAAATATTTTAACTTTTAGAAATTAATAACTTCCATTTTTTTTTTCTATATGCTATTTCAAACAGTTTTTATTTCTTAATCAGTATTAATTTGCGTTTTATACCTGTGGAACTATACGCCTAAAAAGGTAGTTTATTTTCTTCAAATGTGTATTAAAAAATAGTACAATAATGGCAAATTAAGGATTTCACTTATTTTTTTAATTATATAATTCAATTAAAAATCAAACTGACGTTGTTTTCTTTTAATAATTAGTTAATTCCTTCGTAGGTCATGTACGAATTATTGCACTCTGGTAGCAAATTGTACTCTTTGTAGTTTAGTAAAAAGTCAACATTTTAAACGGAACAACTTTATCTGCAGTTACGCGCATGTTTTACAAAAAGCCATTTTGCGCCCCGAGCGAGTTTGGAGCGCATTCGTTGGCTATTTATAGGCTTCTCCTTTATATTTTTCAGGTGAGTAAAAACTGCATTTGACTTTGTATTTCATAGCTTGATGTAGGATATTGGGATTTGATTCCATTATATTAACCGATACTGGATTAGTGAGCTAATTTTACTTGGGGTACCTCTTGTTATCATTTATGTTTTTGTGTTTGGAAAAGTGCACAGATAAATTGCTATCTAATTATGTATATATATATATATATATATATATGTTATATATATATATATACACTGTGAGGATTTTATAATCGTGTAGTCGGTACCGCAGATTTAAAAGTACGAAGCTATGTGTATGAGCAGAAATGGACCACGAAGTTTAAAATCGAGATTATTATTATCAATGACCAAATTTCTGTCCGTTCACACCGGCCCATTTTGCGGAATCGTAAAAAGAACTGAGTTGCTAAACTTCCGTTTGCGTTACTGCTTCCTTAACTGCCGCATACACTGGGATTACGGCGAAATTATTTTATTGTTTGTCCAGTACATTATACCGCTGTGCGTCATAACTTACGCATACGTGCACATGGCAATGAAGTTGTGGGGCGCCCGTGCACCCGGCAACGCGCAGGAGACACGGGACGCTAACCAAATGAAGAACAAAAAAAGGGTAAACATTTTTCTTCTTTAAATCCTTCTTCTTTTTTCTCCTGCCTTTATCCCACCTAGGTGAGGCCAACGAGCGAATTATGTTGTAAGTTTGGTTATATGTTTTTTTACGATCGGCCGCCTGCCTGATGTGAATCCTCCTTGGGAACAAACATCCAAATCCGGAACAATTGTCTGCGCGGCACACAAATACTTTTCCGGTGTGGGAACCGAACCCACGACCCCCGGCGCAGACGCCTTAGATGGCTTAGTATTTGCGCCACCCAGTCTTCTATAAACCCCTTTACTTAATGCCATTTAATAGATACAGCAGGGTGACCCAAAGCACGGCATCGTTGGTGGGTGTGATGATTGCAAATATGGCCGTGTCCTATGTTTTTTTTATGTGAAAAGTTGTCAAGCGAGAAGGTGGTTCATCTGATGTTAAATGAATACCCAATATGTAACACAACAAACGAAGACTTGCTGATGAGTTGACAACCTTTAAAAAAGTAGACCCCGGCAACCAAACTCACCAGACGTAACGCGTAAAGTTAAACACTTCTACTTCACGCCGGTCTACTGTGAGGTCGTGTTACTTCCCTGGACGAGCCTGCCCATTCACGCAAAGGCGAAACTGTTGCGTGGCCCTACTATACCCCTGTTTTAATTTTCATAACGAATAATAAACAAATCAGACTTTGGTATATTTTTGTTGTCAGTTAAATTAATATGTTTTAATGAAACAATTCTAACTAAAGTTTTGTTTAATCAAGTTAGAAGATCATAATATTACAAAGGATTTAAATGTATTGCTCAAAAGGCACGAATAAAACTTTTCGTCTGACTGTGAAGTTTAATTTATTTATTATGGAGTCTAATTCAGAGTTTATTTTGAATTAAAATTTGTGTTATGTTGGAGATATTATTAATATTATTTCAACAGTTCAATAATGTATGTATTCGTAAATAATTTTCGTTTCGATTATTCCTTTAAGCTATTATTTCACGTACTTATTATTTGGGTGTGTTTTACTAGATACAAGTATTATTTATTTCGCAGGTTATAAAAATGTTGGTGCTCGTAGTAGCTTTGTTTGCGCTTTGTTGGCTTCCACTCCAGAGTTACATGCTGCTGCAATCATTTTTCCCATCAATTAACGAGTAAGTGTTGAATTTCCATTAACGTACCTCTTTATTATCACGCTTTCGTTTTGATAACACGCAACTTGACTAAAGGTTCACTCAATAGCAGCTACGAGTATGTGTGATGCCCAACCACGGGCGGTACATTAGCGTATTTATTATTTCCGTTACAAGTACAATGTGTTAGTGACTAGTTTCGTTTAAGGTTTGAATAAATGTGTTTTTAGGGTTCCGTACCCAAAAGGTAAAAAAAGAAACACTTATAAGATCACGCTTTTGTCCGTCTGTCTGTCCGTGTGTCACCACGGATTTTCTCAGGAACGGGTGGACCCAGCAAGTTGAAATTTATACAAAATACTGAGGTCTACAGTCCCTTGTAGGTGTATAATAATCAAGGTCCTGAGTTCAACACGATAAAAAATATGGGCTAAATTAAGATTTTTGCGAAAACTTGTAATGTAAGTACCAAAACTTACCTTAATACCTATAGGTTTTGGTTCGAAAACCTATATGGTAGTTTCCGTTGATCTAGAATCACGAATCAGAAATTTGGCATAAAGCAAGGTCTTACAGCACCAATAAAGTAAAAATTCCTAAAAATAAAAAAAGATGCAAATTAAAGGATGTCCCCAAACATAAATAGTTAACGCCAATTAAGATATTCCTCAGAGTTGTATGGGCATACAAATACAATTACATACTAGATACTAGTGGTACGGAACCCTTCGTGTCCGAGTCCGACTCGCACTTGGCCGATTTTTTTAAAATTAATATTTGTATCTACTTGCCTCTTCATTGTACTTGAAACGACGCCAATGTGCATGAGGTTGTACTTTCCGTGATTAAATAAAGAAAAATAAGTACACATTGTCAGTTCAAATTTGAATTTTAGCTAATTATTAGCAATAAAAAATTTTAAACGGCTAGATTATTAGTGAGAGTTAAATAAAAACCTTATTATACTTCCATCGAAAGTTAAGTTTCGAAAACGTGGTTGTTTCCGTAGCTAAAGAGTTTAGTAAACATTTTCATACGTGGCCAAGTACAAATTCTTATTCTTTTGTAACAAAAACTCTTTGATCTTGCTTTGGCATCGGTCGAGTAAAAAAATTCAAGGCGTAAGAAAATAAAACGACAGAAATATAAACGCTTAAATATTTCTTTTTTCCAGGTACAGATACATAAATGTAATTTTCTTTTGTTTCGATTGGTTGGCAATGAGCAACTCTTGCTACAATCCCTTTATATATGCAATTTACAATGTAAGTACAACCAATAATTACTAATGGAACATATTTAAAATACGATATGAATATGTAAATTAATAAAAAAAATTGTAAAATAGTTAATGTAATATGTTTTAATGTAGCGACAGTCACATTACGTTTATGTAATATAAATATGTAAATATTATAAAAATATTATATTCTATTAGTCTAACGCCCGGTTTCTGAAACACTTACGCCCAGTTTCTGAAACACTGATCATCGTAGATGTCATGATTAGTTGACAAACCGTCAAATGCCTTTTCAAATTTCATTTTAGTTGAAATTTGAAAAGCTCCTGGAAATTTAATTTCCAAAAGGATGGTTAAACTCTTTGAATTGATCATTCTGATCATTATGAAGATCATTCTGGTCATTCTGATGATACTGGTCGATGATCAGTGTTTCAGAAACCGGGCGTAAACCTTATAAATTATGTATGTGAAAATTTATATTACAATCATATGCATTAATTATGCATATGATTATAATATAAATTTTCATATTTTATGACTAGCTGATTATAGCGAATCAATCCTCAAAGAATTCGTAACGTACATACATAATTATAACGACATTACCTACGTATCGTAAATTACCAAGTTTTATATTATGATAAAAAGATGATTTAGAAATTTATGAATTTTTACATTTCACTTATAGAATTATTCATGAAAAAATTCCACCAAGTCCAGCAGCTAACATTCTATACGCATGTTAACTATCTTTAATTATAATTTATAACTTTGTATAAATTATGATATATAAGTATCATTGAGGAAGTTTATTAATTATAAAGCACATAGGTTCGCTTTTTCTTACCTAGATATCATTGAATTGCTAATAAAATTAGTTAAGATTATTTCCTGAAAAGTTTTTATCAACGCCTAAAAACTCCAAACGGATTGGTTCACGAATAATTAATCCTTCTCTTCTCGCTCATTATCGACCTATCTCTACATTACTCTTCCTTTCTAAGGTGCTCGAGTCCTGCGTTCTTAAGCAATTTTCTCACTTTGTCCTTAGTAACAAATTGATAAGCCCCCTACAATCCGGTTTTAGACCTGGCCACAGTACCACCACCGCCCTCCTTAAAGCGACTGTCGATATTAGGGCAGGTATGGAAAACACCCAAGTTACTGTTTTGGTTTTAATCGATTTTTCGGATGCCTTTAATACCGTCAGTCACGGCATCCTATGAGCAATCCTGTCCTATTTAAGGGTTTCCGATGAAGCACTGGAATGGTTTTCGTCTTAACTTCAAGGGCGCCGGCAGGCAGTTAGTATTGGTGAATTGTCATCAAGCTGGCTTAATCTTGCAAGTGGTGTCCCTCAAGGCGGTATTCTCTCACCTATCTTATTTTCAGTTTTTATTAATCTCATTACTCATGACCTTCAATGTGTGTATCATCTGTATGCCGATGATCTGCAGCTGTATGCTCAGGTGACCACTGATAGGCTCCCAGAAATAATCGACTCTATAAACAAGGACTTAGTTGCCATCAAAAAGTGGTCTGAAAGGTTTGGTTTAGCCGTCAATCCATCAAAGTGCCAAGCCATCATAGTTGGGAGCTTCCATACTATAAGTAAAGTTGACTTGAGTGATCGCCCGCAAATTATCTTCAACGGTTCTTGTATTCCAATCAGCCGTAATGTGAAAAACCTCGGTGTGTACCTTGACATGACGCTCAGCTGGAATGCTCAAGTCAATAGTGTTTGCCAAAAAGTCTCAGGCGTCCTTCGATGTTTATACCGCCTCAAAAATTTATTGCCGACAAAACCAAGGAATTGCTCGTGCAGGTCTTAATTTTCCCTGTAGTTGACTATGGTGACATATGCTACTTTGACCTGAATGCAGATCTCCTCAATAAACTTGACCGACTTCTGAATAACTGCATTCGATTTGTTTTCAATCTTCGCAAGTATGACCATGTATCCTCTTACCGTAATCAACTTCAATGGCTACCTATACGTCAACGACGTCCCGCAGGGCACTGACTACTCTATATTCTTTCCTGAACTCTCCTTCTACTCCGATTTACTTATCCCATCATTTTCAATATCTATGTGCAGTCAGCAACAAAAACCTTCGCTCTTCGCAAAATCGTCTTCTTGAATGTCCTTCTCACCGTTCTGACTTCATGCACTCATCTTTCTTTATCCAGTCTATCCTTCTGTGGAATGCACTCCCTCTCGAACTCAAGTTGGCTAAAAGTAGCTTTGTATTTAAAAACAAAGCTCGTGAGGATATTTTCAAAAACTTGTCTCGGTAGATCAATTACATCGTTATGTTTAGAGTATATTTATAGTATATGTATATGTATGTATATATATATATGTGTGTGTATGTATATGTAATTATATATATGTGTTTATTTATGTACGTGAGTATGTATTAAGTATATTTTGTAGTATATTTCTTTTGTAGTACTGTATTTAACATATGCATATACATTACATAGTTTGTAAATATTAGCGTTTTCCTTGTTGAAAATCTCTCTGTGCACCTACCTAATTTTCTCTGTACCACCCCAAGGTTGACTGGGAGATAATGCTTTTAGCATTAAGTCCGCCATTGTACTATTTGTGCATAAAGGGTAAATAAATAAATAAACAAAGAGAAAAATATTTCAAAAAGAATGTTTATGTCTTAGCAACAAATAAATAACCACATGAGATACAAATCCACTATTTCGAAATCGCAGACAGAAGAGTTCAACTTTATTTATCTGAATCGTAAAGAGTTTAGTTAAAGCTATAGCTTTCAACGCCTGTGCCTATTTCCCCTTTGTCCGGTTGGGATATTCTTGTCTTCAACAAGATGAACAGTGAACTCAGGGTACTCGAGTATATGAAATTAAAAGCGAGCGGCCAGACAATGAGTTATCACGGTTTCTGGCTTGCTGTCCATTTTCTGGGTATTCATTTATTAAACCGCTCAATTATTTAGGTGTTATTGACACTGCATCGGCAGATTTGTTTTTAATAGTTGCTCATGGTGTACTTGCCCAGTACTATTGTATTGTTTATTTTATTTATTTGTTTATAATTTATGTACACAGAGTTATGGCAGAGATGTAAATAGATGAAATAATTTGTACAAAGGTCCTGCTTATTTCATAAGAAATTTCTTCCAGCAGACCTGTGACTGGAAATTGGTTACAGATGGTAGTTAATTGTGTACATACATCAATTAAAATACACGTATATGCAATAATTATAAATATGATATGATTTCTAAAATAAAATATATATAAATACATAAATACACATACATAAATACATACATATACATACATACATATATATACATAAATAAGTAAATAAATATATAAATATATATTTAGCATTTATACTGCCAAGGAAAGGTAGTGATCTTTAACTCTTTTCTTAAAAATCGATATAGTTTTAGATTCCCTGATTATCGGTGGGACTGAGTTCCATAATCGAACTGCATGAACAGTAAAGGAATATGAAGCGCTTTTATGGGGAGGGAATTTAAGGAAGGTTTTAAGATGGGAACGGCAAGGAGCGTGCGGTGGACGAGCGAAAGCAAATTTTTGTTATATAATTACGTACCACAAATAATCAACCGTAACAACTGACAGACGCAAAACCTATTTATTACCTTTAATTTTTTTTAATATCCTTATTTATTAAATAAGCGAATTGAAAATTCAATATTTCAAAAAAAAAAACAATACATCTTTATAATTATGTAAAAACGTTCATTCGACATTAACATTTATTACTTTTAATTACAGGAAAAATTCAAGAAAGAATTTAAACAGCGATTTACTTTGAGGCAGAAGAGGAATCGATTCAATAACGACAGTTACGAGGTACTTCACGTCCTTTGATATTATATGTTTTTACATCTTGAAATATAAACGTGTGTCACTTTCCTCACTTGTTACAGGATGGTCAATCATACAGAACGCGGGTGATGTCTTTTCGGTCCACCACTGAAAGAAGTACTTATTCGACCAGAAAATCTATAAATTCAGGTCCTTTGGATCCAATGAAATCGCACCCGAGAAGTTCCTGTCATTGCGCAAGAAGCACTAAAATTGGATTAGAATTAGACGAAGAATCCCGGGCAAACGCTACCAGTGAAGTGGAATCATTTAAAAATGGAACACAAATAAATACTATGAAAGTTAACAAGTCGTCAAATAGGCGTAATAAACCAAAAAGATTGTCGAAACACGATTTGCCCATTGGTGACGAAAGAGTCAGCGAATTGTATATTTTTCCTAATAGTAATATCGTAGAATTCACAGATATGCTATGCGATAATAAAGTGTAAATTAGTCTCGTAGATATTTAAGAATTACACAAATAAGTTATTTCAGAAAAAAAAAATGTTTAACGTTTTAAGAATTATAATGTAGTAATGCTGTACTTGTTTTATTTAACCTTTTGACATATTAAAATTCAACCGGTATAATAAATGAAGTCTTCATAAATTAAAAATCTCATCAAGTAAATCATAACGAAAAAGTGTTTCAAAGGATAATGGAACGCAATAATTAAAAGTTAACATTACTTTTGACCATTACACTCAATTAAAAATTTATCCCTATATTTGTATCCTAATGGTATTGCTGTCTGTAAGCATTACCTAATGTAATACTGTTCATCGTAAATATTTATTTACTTTTGAGTACACCCAATTAAAAATGTATCCCTAACTCCTAACTCGTACCTCATTGATGGCTTTGTAAGTAATTAACTGTAACTTACAGCAACATACACATTTGACACCTTGAAACACCAGGAACTTTAAATACATTTTAAGTATTTAAAGTTTCAGAAAAGGGTTAGTTTTGTGAAGAATAAAATTAACTTTTATCCTAGGCTCATGATCACCAAGGTTATAATTACTCTACTTTTATGACTTATTTTATTGGTAGTCTTCTACTATCGCGATAGTTAGAGTGACTATGCTTGGTTATGGGTAATCTTGAGTTCTTTGTTACATGTAAAACTCATGCTTAAACAGCTCGAGCATACTTTTTAAGGTAATATAAATAATTTTCCAAATCTTAACAAATACGTAAAGCGGTACAACCTCAAACCTTACTCATGGTGACTACGTAAGAAAGCTTTAGACAATATTTACTGATTCAATTTGATTGACAGACATTTGAAAACATAGTCATAACACGTACGTGTAGCGTTAACTTACAACACAGTGTAGTTCCTATTCTATCAATACACCGCGTACACAATAGTGTATCATTAGTCAGGACGGTTCTTACCGCTTCTGTGTCAACGTTGATATACCTACCAGAGTTCGATGACCCGTCAACAATCTTATTATTTTTCACTGACTTCAAAAAAGGAGGTAGTTCCCAATTTAGTTGTATTTTTTTAATGTTTGTTACGTCAGAACTCTGTTATTAGAAACCTACTAATTTACCTCTTTACCTATTTATTTTCAGTTTAGCTCTCTCATTCAGTTTAGCTCTCACGTCGTCCGATATTAATATCTAGTATTAGACCTTTGTCTCCGGTGCAACATCATGGAACTTAACGCAATGTTTGAAGACGGTTTCCTTTTTCATTATTAAAATGTATTGTGTGAATGTACTCATCGTGCATAACTGTTGATGCAAATAAAAAGTCAAAGAATTACAGTTGCACTCTGTACGTGCAAGTTGTCACCAAGCAACGACTTTATCATTATATCATATGGTATATTTAGGACATTCATAAACAACAAAATAAAAAATGTAAACAACCTATGGCATGAACGATGGCTTATGAATCCTTTTTATGTAAAAGGTGGAAAGCAAGTTCGTGGTTTAACTCGCTGTTTACCGCTTTGCAGATTGACTGAAAACCACTAAAGAAGGCGCCCCATTTGCTTCAGTAACCAAATAAATTGTAAAAGCACAAATATTTTCATGAACTGACTGAGTACGAGCAAAAGCTGCTGCATCCAACAATCGTTACAGTCTGTTGTGTACAGTCGTTAAACAAATAAAAACAAAATTTAAATCTGAGAGAACGGTAATTCCCATGCAATAGCAAACAAACAGAAAGAACACCTTATACCATAATAAATATTATCTAGTTACTTATGACAATTGACAATCTTTGCATGGCAACCATCGTTATAGAAGCCTTTTCAATTTTTTCCTTTTCAGTCACGACCACTTTATATTTCTTTGTACGTTTTCCCTTTTCTATTCAGTTTGCCATCAACTTTCTTATAAATAATATCTATACCTCATAAATGCCATCGTATTTATGAAGTCACGTCAAACTTTGTGCCTCATTATTTCCTCCAACGAAATTTTGCTTGTTTTCCAATAAAAAAACAAGCTGTAAAAATTTTCCTGTTATAAATCAATCATCCAGTAATTACGTGTTTAAGGAATATTTGTTTGGTTGGATATTTATTGTTGGATATTTATAGTTGGATATTTAAGCAGAACAAAAACCGATTTAATATTATTAATACCATTGATCATATATACGTTAAGATTTCTAGTCCCGCGCTTCACTGCGTCAAGGTTTCAGATGCAGGAAAATGCATGCAGAAAACTGACTTTAGTACGGTTTTACGCATCGTAGAATAACAACACATATATTTTTGACTCCGAAAAAAAAGTTATAATATGACGTTCTGTGTAGAGAAAACTTGCAAAAACTAATCACAATAAATAGTATTTTGATTCCAATGGTATGTCACTTAGATTCAATTTAATGAAAATAATTCTTCCATCATTGTCAGATACCCATCTCTTGTCAGTGTTGTCGGTGTAAGCCTCTGAGCTATATCGGTTATCTCTTTTCTACTGCAGGTGCCTTCACTGTAAACTTATAGCCCGCTGAGCGACTTTGGGCTACTTCATACGGCCAGAAGCGAAGGACCACGTCTCAGTTCCGTAGGTCATCAATGGCGACACATATAGGTTGAAGACTTTGGTCTTCAAACATTAAGAGATATGCCGAAGTTTCCCGAATGTTGCCCATCCGAATTGGATTGGCCAATTAACCTGAGTCGAAGTTGGACTAACTAGGGATGTCGAAATATAATATTTTTAGCCGAAAAAATTGAATTCGATATATCGATACAAAATCGTATCAGAAACGATATTTTTTCAAATTTTAATCCGGCACAGAGTCCGGAGATGTCAAATATCTTGGCATACTTTTTTTTTGGTCAACGAGGCCTATAGCGAAAATATCAGTATATCGATAGTGAGACCCCGTGTACCACGCGGCATCTGTATGTGTATAATCTAAGATAAATAAAAGTAAATATTTCGTTACAAAAGTAAATAAATATTTTTGGATCCAAAAAAATATAAAACAAATTCATAGTTATTTCAATATATTCGTGTATACACGTCTGTGTATTACGAACAGACACACGATTGCCCGGATAAAAGCAAGTGTATTTTGCGTCAAAAAAAAAACGTGTATTTTATCATATTTATAGAAACTTATGAATATGATCTTGCACGTCAGCGTTTCATTTCTCATAGTCTTATAAACAATAAAAACCTAAAAACAAAAAAAATAAGTGCGACTCGGACTCTAGCACGAAAAGTTCCGTAACATTATCTATAACGGCGAAATAATCATGTCTGTTGTATGGGCGCCCCACTTAAATATTTCTTTTTTTGTATTTCTTGTTATAGTGGCAACAGACATACATCATCTGTGAAAATTTCAACTGTCTAACTATTACGGTTCATGAGATACAGCCTGCTGACATTATCTTACAATTCACAATTTTCGGTAGAATTTTACTTAAAGTAAGAACTGTGCAATTTCAATGAATATCTAAAGTCAAGAAAGCAATTCACTCTCAACGCTTATTATGCAGTTTCAGACTGAAAATGGAATTCATAAGCTTCGCCACTACTTAATGTTTTTGTTTTGCTTGAGCAAAACCTTTGTTCTTTTCATCTTTTGTTAAAAAGGTATTTACGCTGTTTTGTAAACTTGATGGTAAAATATTAGAAGTGGCTGCATTCAAAATAACTGTTTATTATTAATAGAAAAATCTATTTGTACAGAATTCTACGTAATAATATTAGTTTATAATTATAATATTATTCACATATTAATTTCACATATTGTTTTTCGACTAATAGTGAACATAAAAATAAATACCCATTTTATTTATTGTAAAAAATATAAAAAAATATAATTATTAGTACATATACATAGTTATTAAAAGTACATATAATAGTTATTAATACATTTTATTACGAAAATTATGAAAAAAGTGTACTTCGACGTCGAAGCGCTCGCTTTTTATAGATACATTAGAAAATAAAAACACATCTAAATAGTACGTGAAATTGTAATTTACCACTTGGTCTACGGTGATACTGACAGTGATGGTGAATAAAAAATCTGTTCCTAGCTAGATAACCTAGATATAGGTTACCATAAGGTTGACAGACCTGGTAATAGCTAGCTTCCGGTAATAGCTACAGGGGAGCAGCTATCGCTCTAGAGTACGGTAGATTGATAGTGTTCAGTGAAATGCAGTCATTTTGCTTATTGAAATGGCCAGTCTCGTAACTCAACAGAACATTGCAAAAAAGAGCGGTTTGACTTTCAGTTTATTTTCAGACCATTGATTGAGATGCACGGTGCACACGTTGGTCATTCGGCATTAGTTCTATAAGGTCGTAAACGGAGATCATTATGTAGTTTTTTTTTGCATAAAGTGGATGGGCACGCACAACAATATTGGTTGTGATATCGATTAATAAGTTAACCGTAGAAAAAACCGGCCAAGTGAGAGTAGGACTCGCGGACGGAGTGTTCCGTAACAATATCTATAAAAACGGGGAAAAAATCATATCTGTTGTGTATGATTCCGCCACTTTAATATTTTTTTATTCTGTTTTTAATATTTATTGTTGTAGCAACAGAAATACATCATCTGTGAAAATTTCAACTGTCAAACTATCACGGTTCATGAGATAAAGCCTGGTGACAGACGGACAGACAGACAGAGAGACAGTGGAGTCTTAGTAATAGGATCTCGTTTTATCCTTTGGGTACAAGTGATGACATTTCAACAGGTTTTATAGTAAAACAGATTAAGATTTTGAAAATGGTCTTAATAAAGTCGCTTTGAACCATCGAGCAGTTAACACATGTACATATTAATTCAATGCTTTGAACTAGAGTAATTTGCATACAAATTATACTGTTGTATAAACCGGCAATTGGGTCCAATAAATAATTACATGCCTTTTAATATATATGTACTGATGTAATAACCATGTTTTAATCATTCATCTAATGGAACTAATGAAATAAATT